GGTGGCGTAGTGGTAGGCGATGTTCATGAAATGGTTTCTAGAGTAAGCACTTGGTGTTTGGACCATCACTGCTGAGACAAGAAGGTAGTGGGTTTGAATCCCATCCTCTACAAAAGAACTTTATCATAGTGTGAGGGATATTGAGGGTGCTTTTTCTTATCTCATTTCTATTGATAACTGTCACTGCAGGTATATTCGACTAGCTTAAAAACCCACGACTTGCATTACGTGCCCGGGGTCCGCTGAAAACATGAAGCTTGACTGCAACAAATATGATCTCCATTTTTCCACATGCACTTTCCTGGGTGTCAGCTGCTTGCACTTGAATTTTCCACTGCCCCTTTTGCACTACCAATTCTCCATGGATATCTATAATATCCAGTCCATTGCGTTTAGCTGCCCCTTGGCTATCTTGCAATCGCGATGCGTCTTGTTTGCTGAACGACAAAGGAGAAGCGGGGTCGCAGCGAGAAAATGATTCTGTAACGGACAATGATCGTGTTGCGTTTTTTGCGTTAGAAATGTCAACATTTGTGTCTGATGATGTGGCCACGTGGACGTGTTGGTTGCTGCAGCAAGTGTTGGAACCAGGGGTACTGGGAACGAAGCCCGTGTCAGCTGGCGTGGTAGACGCAGTTCCTTTGAATCCACTCCCATCAGCACCGTACGGTTCTCCATCAAGGACGATATCAGCATCACAGTCTATTCGGATCTTGACTCGGTCGTCGCTCAGTGGAGTGTTGCCCGGACTAGGTGGCTGTTTGCTAAATCCGCCCGACCTCATCAGTAATCCGAGAGGGGCAATCGTAGGGAGATTCATTTTATTGGCTATGACCTGGAAGAGGCTTGATATCCTCGCTTTTGCTACGCCGGAGAAATCAGCCCTCATGGAATTCAGATTAATTAATGTGTTTTCATCCCCGATCTCGACTATTAGTTCATGAGATGTGTCGTCGACAAAAGGGCGAGAATAATGGACCCAACCTCCAGAAGTGGTTCTATCCGAGGTTGGGACGTCGTTTACAAACTGAACCCCCGACTGGCGGATATCTTGCAATCGAATGATGATTTCTGACTTTCGTCGTAATGAATTGTAACTGATCGCATGGGGAACAAGCTTTTGCTCAAGCCCCCGAAAGTGGAAATACCGGCAGTCACGCAGGAGAGCAGCCCGGTGTTCTTCGTTCCGTACATGGAGAGGATATCCTTTAAGCATATGGAGGAGCTCGGCAAACACTTCGGCTGAGCGGTTGATCACCACAGGCGGAGTAACAGCTGGTGGGCGCAGGAGGTTTGGACGATCGAAGGTTTCCTTGGGAGTGGTAAAAAATATAGCAAAAGCGAGTGAGAAGAAGTTCGGATAATCCCCAGGACTAGAGAAGAGATCACGGGGAATTTGGAAATGTCGATCTCCGATTTGTATGAATATCTCTGACTCGACTAGTTGAGAGATCAAACGCGGCACTAAAAATCATGAAGGTTAGGGGGAAGACGCCTGGATAAAAATGTTGTGAACTGGTAACGTAACTTACGACTGTAAAATTGGGCATCCGCAATCAGCCTGGCAAGGTGGGTTCCATCTTGCGGTCGCACATAGTAGCCTTGAGTTTTGAGGGACAATTGTCAGTCATGCCATGTAAAATACATGCAAATCAATGTTTCTATAATACTAAGAAGAACTCGCGGTAGCAGAACCCAAATACCTTGAAGATGTCTCAATATATCTCGAAAATTGGCGGGGTCGCGATCAATGTACAGAGTTCGCACTGCTGCACCATTTTCATTGTGACGCAACTGCTCCTCAAAAAAATGTGAAAAATATGAGGGTGCTCTAAGACTTTTAGTCCATAAGTTCTGACTACGGGTTTGGACATGAATTGCTGGACTAACCATCAGAGGATATCGACGATCCAGACAATCTAAATAACTCGGAGCCTATCTGAATGGGAAATACCTTTTCAGAGGGGAGAAGGCAGGTTTTCCCCTTCTCTGAAGAATCTGGCTGCTTCGAAACTCCAGGGGAGGAGGTGGAGAAATTTGAGTTCTGGTTGGGAGAATCCGCTCTACTATTTTGTCTCATGTTGCCGTTATTATCCATTTCAACGTCGACTGTTCTTCTAGAACGTGGCTCCGAGTCCGAGGACATAGCAATCGGTTGCAGATCCCTATCCGTTGCAAGATAATGAGCGGATTCGATACCGCTGTGTTCTGAATTATTAGTGGTAAGTTTTGGGAGACCCATTCTCCCTTCATGGAGGTGCTGTGAATCCGATTTCCGTTTTGCAGCACGAGACTGAGACGGAGGCATTGTCGGCATCGGGACTGGGATAGAAAGCTAATGGGGTGTCGGAAGTTGCTCCTGGACAGGAAATGTAGCAACCCCCACTGCTGCTAGATGTGGAGGAGTAGACGAAGCCGCTTCCGGAGTTCGAGTGGATTGTGATGGTCCGTCCAGGTTACGGACTCCTTCTCGCTGGTCATTAACGAGCCGTTCTTGGACTTCGTAAATGCGGTTAGTGTTCAGGAAGGAAGAGTTAGGTGTGTTCCAGTCTGGGATGAGTTCGGAGGAGCCAACGAACGATATACCCCAGGAAATTTAGACTGGGGAGCGAACTCAGGAGGATTGGCTTATTTGCTCCAGTCGATGTCAATCCCTTGTCGGCAATTCATTCGTTTGAAGGGCCCGGGGAATGCCTGACTGGAGAGATGGATGTAACATCAGGTTCAAGGACAGAGTCGCACGATTCGATTAGTGAGTATGTGGAGATTTCTGGTGTCAACTCGTATGGGCACGATGCCAGCGATGGGTTCAATGGTAGTGTCTCTTCATCTGGCTTTCCAAGTTGGGAAGAAGCGACATTGAAGGGATCAGAACTGAGTGGGGAGGACATTCACCATGCACCCACTTTGCGTTCACTACGGAGTACTCCGTACATCTTCACTTCATTGCGGGTTGTGGATTTGAAAGGATTGGTAACTAACTAGTGTGTGAGCTACAGAAGCAATTTCATCATTCGGTTTGTCAGAATAGTTAAAGCGGCACTAAGACACAGTTGCAATGGAAGGCCAAGGCATTAGATGATTTGATCTGGTACTTCAGAAAAGCAATTTGCAACACCAGGAGTGACTATGTCTGAAGTTTCATCTCTGAAGGATTTGTGGAAGAAGTTGAGGATTGCTTTGTTGGGTGGTGCAACTTTGAAATCCTGAATCAGCCTTACATCATCAAGCAACAGTTCAGGCAAGCTGGCAATATGTGCGTTGTAAGAGAAGTTGAACTTGGTTGGTGGTTAGTATTATCAATCTAGGGGCTAGCGGTAGGCTTGTGCAGGACGATTCGTTCCCTCTATGATACCACCACGGCGCTGGTGGTGATCGAGCTCTTTTGCCCCAGTGTTCTAACAGGTTTGAGGCCCGTATAAGAGCAACTGCTATTTAGAGTGTGCCAACATGCTATCAAAGGTTTGAATCAGAGTAATATCCCCTGCTAATGCACACTCTGTTAACCATGATGGAGGAGATTGGTGGTTAGGCAGCCTGACCCAGCTCGGATGGTATCTCCTCGTCTGGGGGCGAGGCAACAATCAGCGCAATACCATTAGTGCAAGAACCAAGCTGTTAGCTTAGAAGTACCAACCAATAATTTCTCATACTAAAATCTATGTAATCTGATTTGTTGATACTTCTTGATCCATATTCATATCCACCGTGGATGTGATACCCCTGGCCACCCTGGCCACCCTGGGATAGAAATATGGATTTTACAGGTGATTTCCAATTCTTCAATGCTTCTTTTAATCGGATTGAATAATTTTTTTATTAGACAGTACAAAAATAGATGCAAAGTGAAAGTGATCTATCAGTGCGTTTCTTGCAGACATTTCATCTCTTGAGAATATTAGATTCAAATCTATGAAATCTCTTCATCGCCTCCCAACTGTCAATCTGTTCAATGATATTGATCCACAGAATTCATATACTCTATTCTCTTTCTATATCTCAAAGGCAGATATTCAGAATATTGTCAGTTCCATCAATGTCTACACAGAGATTCAGATATCAAAGAATTCAGTCATTAATTCACAGAATTCACAGTCAACTACTTCTGCAGAAATCAAGATATTTCTTGAGCAGATTATTGATATAAAAGTATATAAATCTTCAACAATTGAAAATTATTGAAACAGAAATGATGTACAGAGATCACTTCATTCATCAAGATTTTATATAACATAGTATTAATTTGAGTAAATCAAGAAATATATTCATATATCTAATTCTCACAGGCTGAAATCCTACTACTCTTTCTTCATACAGAAGCTAAAGTCTTTATACTTCAACTTTCATATAATATATAAGAAATATTACAATTCAGATTCAAATCTCTTCATTGATGATTAATATTATTATTATTCTTCCATTATAGATGTATGCAGCCAGTGAATATGATATTTATCTAAAATACTTCAGAAATTTTCAACATAAGAATAAGTTAATATATAAAGTCAATTTAATACATGTAATAGCAGAATTCCAGCTCAGAATCAAACAACTATTCAAATTATTCAATTTAATAAAGAATGTTAAAAGAATGACAGTAAATCAATACATTTAATTTAAAACAAATGAAATAAAAAGTATAAAAAACAGCATATTAAAAGAAAGGAAAGCATTCATAAATCAAACTTTTCAAAACAAATCAAAATCAAAAATAATCAAAATGAAACAAATTTCAAAATAAAAGTAACAAAATAAAAATAAAAATAAAAATAAAAATAAAAGCAAATATATAGAAATAAAAGAAAAAAAATAAAAATAAAAATTGAGTTCATTATCAGATTAAACTATTCAATTAAAATTTTGTAGCAACATTTAATTCTTTCAAATATTCAATTAAAAATTCATTTTCAGTTTTTCTATTAAACAAAAGTTTTAAATTTAACTATTTCAATTCAAACTTCTCTCTCAATCTCAATTTTAACTCTGTATGCTTTGTACAAAATAAAAGAAGATGCTTTGAATTTTTATATAACTTACAGTCTAAATATAAATGTCACACCCTTGGTTGTGCCAAGGCCCCGTGGCGGCTCCACACGGCCCATCGCTTCCCCTCAGATAATCCCATCTATCCCATAACGTCACGCAGGTATCCGAACCGGTTTCCAACCACCCTATGACATCATTCGGATGCAATAGAAGAGGATCCGATTGATGGGATATGAGAATCCTGTTTCTATACGGGGTCAGTGGATTCCTTCTGGCAGATCAATGGAGCGCCACTACGGAGTTGCTTCGGCTACCCTCGCTCATAGAGTGAGGGGAGGATGGCTGCCCGTTGTCTATATAGAATAGCTAGATGCTGGCTCTCTATTCCAGGAGCCAGCGATTCGTCTTTTATCTTTTGACAATAAGATACCAGAGTTACCACTGTCCTCATACAATATCCTTAGTGTGCCGAGTACCTCTGGTAGTTCAGTATTTGTATAGTATTCTACGAGTTCGCGGTTCAAGCGAGATAATCAAGCCCACCCATAAGGCTTCCCATTATATACCATCCTCCTCTGTGCCGCTGCCGAGTAGCAATCGCCTCGGCGCCGTCACATTACAATAAATCATTTAAATCACTTTTAATCTTTGTTAAATATGATTTAAAATAATCATGTCCAAGTTTTAACTGCATTATTGTAGCAAAAAGTGTTTTTTTACATTTTATTAAACAAGCTTTCCATTTTGGCTTAGTTTCAAACCTGGAATAATGTACACTTTTTTTTTGTAAAAGCTAGATATCTTGCCATTTTTGCAAATATGATTCTCTTATTTTTCTCTTAATAAATCATATTACAATTCTTTGAAAACAGACTTCTAATTCAGTTGCTTTTTTTGCAGCTTTATCACTTCTTTCATTGCCACATATACCCATGTGAGCAGGCACTTAGTGAAGATGAATAGGAAATATTTTATCAAATTGATATCAACAAAAAATCATATTGCTTTAAAGATTTTTGATTGTCTATCATCAAACAAGATGTTAGAGAAAGTTGACATTCAATTTAAAAATCTCTTCAAATTAAAATTGCTTCATTTATTTCTCAATAACTATGAGAATTTTATATTGTTGATTGAAATCAATTTTTAATTTTGAAATTAAATCATCATCTAATTTTTTTCTATAATAAATTAACATTTTCAATTTAGTATGTCTTTTCAATTAACCAATCAATCAGTTATTGATTTATTAACATATAAATCAGAAAGTGTGTTTGCTTAATGTCTTTTATAAAAAGAGATATCATTTAATATTAAAGAATTGATCTTGACTGAATTACAATCATTTTTGTTTATGAAATGAAGAGAGTCAAGTAAATTTTCTTTACATTTACTTCTCTACATTATATCAGACAGAATCACCTGCTGAATCTGCTGATTTTACAAAAGAATTTCAACAGTTACACTATTATCAGACTTTCAGCAGTTTAAAAGCCAGCATTGCATGATATTTCAATATTGAATACTAATGAAAATGATGATCATTTAATATATAAACCTCAGATAACAAGATATTTACATTGCATTTAAAATGTCTCATTTCTTTAGATAGTAATTTGATTTGTATAAAGTAGTTAACTAGTCTAACTGAATAGTATGCAAGTATTGATTTCACTGACAGAATAGTATATCATAACTTGCAGTGTCTCAGTAATATTTTGATGATGGCATTTGCTGATTACATGGTGACTGAGCCATGCTCTGATGATGTCAAGAAGTTCACTGTTGTTTCAACACCATCTTGACATTTAATTTTTAACAATGTGTCACTGAAATTAATGGTGGAACATGTGTTATGATCGGCGACACGTGACCGGTGTGGAATGGTGGAACCATCTTATCTCAGCGAGCTCAGACCCTCTATGGCTAGTGGTTATACGGGGGGGGGTTTGGGTGGCGTTATAACCCATGTTACTATGTATGTTAGCCAAGCCCCACGATAACTTTTTAGTGTTTAATTATACGGAGTACCGTACATACATTCAACCCCACTTGATTCATACCGTACGAGCAGGCATCATCCTTCAAGAATAGATTTTTAAGCACCCCTGCTCTGTATTCTTCATCATGACATCTCTAGCTGAATGTACAGAGGTGGAGCAGCAGCTTCAGATCAGCAAAGACCTCTTTTCGTACGGGGAAAAGGCCCTGGCCCTGGCCCTGCAGAATCGACCAAAGAATACCAATAAGCAGTATCTCCCCAAGCAGAGAGAATGGCGGGTGGGTGGCACTGCTTCCCTGCATCCAGATTGATCATTCTAGTTCTAACTCCTATCTCTTCGTACAGGACTTCTGCAAGGAGACTGGATTTGAAGATGGGGAGATGGTGACAGAGAGAAAGCTGGTCTGGTTTCTGGAGGAGAAGGTGCTTTGTCGTCCACTGCAGGGCTCTGTTTATAAGAGCAAGAGAGCTCGTACGGACAGGGATGGCAACACTGTGCTGCAGACTGTGGGTAAGAGCACAGTCAAGCTATATGTGGCAGCCGTGGTGGATCTGTACAGATTTCAGAAGAGCAGAGGAATCAACTCCTCTGATCATCCACGTGGACAGCTGGTCAGTGCAGTTCTTCGTACGCATGAAACCAAGGAGTCTGTACGAAAGCGGGCACAGTATGTGGATCGGGGGGCCAATACTCTGCAGGATGGATACAATGAGAAGCTGATGATTCATCTGATGAAGTTCTGCTGGACTGGCTGGTATAAAAATGATCAAACATCTGTGATAAGCCATCTTCGTACAGGGCTGAACTTCCTCATGAATCACAACATGCTTCTGCGGGGGGAGACATCCCGTACGGCACAGCTGCCTGACCTTTTCACCCTTCAGCTTTCAAATGAGGGGCCCACTCCATGCTGGCCTATGATTCTCATCACAGATAATGGCAAGACCAACCAGCTGGGGCGGCTGGAGTATGCTGCTGTGATGAGACATAAGAATCCTCTACTCTGTACAATATCTCATCTGGCATTCTATCTGTTCTACCGCTGGAATATTGTACGGGAAAGTCTTCCAGACTTTCGAAGACGCTCTCTCTGGTATGATATCCACCTTCTCTGTGGACAGGATCCCTTCAAGCCTCTTTCGTACGATACTCAGCTTCAGTGGGTCAATCGCATGTATGCAGCAGCTGGGCTTCTGTCAAGCAAGAAGACTCATCTTGGTCGGAGTCAGCGGTCCAGATATGCTGAACTGAATGGGGTGTCAGAGGGTCAGATTCGCCGGGCTGGCCGATGGAATAATGATGCTCTGACCAACTGCTATCTCACCAATATCCCCCTAGAGTTCGTACGAGCAATGGCAGGGTTTGAACCACAGACTCAGGGCAACTACTTTCTTCCTCGAGCCACCATCCCCCCCCCGAAAGCAGCTGGAGGCTGCCATCTGGCCATGGGTGGATGTCTGGCTAGATAGATTTGATTCGTACGAGAGATTGAGCCAGAAACAGAGACAGACACAGAGGAGGGAAAGAGAAGCAGCAGAAATGGAAGAAGTGAAGGAGACAGAGCAAGAATTGCCAGAGGATGAACAAGACTTAGCAGCTCAGGGATTTCTGCGGCTGCTGAAGCAGCTTCGTACAGTGATTCTTCAGGACTCTGTGCTTCTGCAGAGGCAGTTCCCTGACCACCCTCTATGGTCAGATGCTCTCTTCGTACGAGAGGATTATCAGAAGTATACTCTTCAGATTGTTCAGGCTCTTGAGACAGCTGTGGAGCCTCAGGAGATTCAGATTCAGCGAGTAGTACCTGTCATTGCTGATCAGCTGAAAAATGTGCGACAGGAGATGATTCAGTCCATTGATAAGTGGGGTTATGAGAATCAACAGCTGCAGCAAAAGATGGCTCAGCAGCTTGCTGATCTAGTTGATGGTCAAATCACCTTCTCCATACGGGCAGTTCCTCAGAGCTCTGCTGCTCAGAATTCAGTGATGAATCTGGCTGCCATTCCCTCTGCTTCCTCTCTGCCCTCCTCTTCTTCTACTCTTTCCAGAGACATCGTACAGAGGTCAGTGGAGTCAGAGATGGAGATGAGACAATCATCATCTAACAATGCTGAATCTGTGGATCTGACAGCCACACTTCTCACCTCTTCCCGGACAGGAAATGGCTATTCTCTTTCCCGTACGATACAGTCAGTGCCTGATCTGTGGCGGGAGTGGACCACTGGTCTGAGGGGTGGTCCATCAGTGCAGAGCCTGGAGGATCAGGGAGGCAGCTGGCGCAAGGGCTCCTCCAAGGAGCAGATGATGTTCTGCCGGCGAAAGATCATCATCAATGAGATTCGTACGCGTGTGTCCTCTGGTATGGCTGTCAGTGCTGCTGTGGAATCTCTGGAGCTGATCCGTCAGCGGGGGAAGCTCTCTCTTAATAAATTGACAGAGCTGTTGAAAAGACAGAGGCAGCTCTAGAGAACCTGTCATTTCCTTTCTCTTCGTACGGAGTTGCTGGGACTTTGACTTTATATAATAATATAGATAGAGTGTATTTTTAGATGGATTAGAGTGTACTGCTAGCTAGCTAATGCAGCTCTGCTCTTCATTGTATGAAGGTTTCCTACTATACAGTGTATTCTCTCACTAGAGCTGGCTATCGTACAAAGACAACAGAGGGTGGTGAGCTGATTGATGGGGGTGGATAAATTGGCAGATTGATGATGACGACAAAAGCAGTGAATTGCATCTGCTTCTTTGCACCCACTCATCTCTCTATAATAATATCCTCTTCTCCTCTCTCTCCTCTTCTTCTTTTCTTCTTTCAACACACCATCATATCAACCATGTATGTACAAAGCTCTGACAGATTGCTTCATCAACTAGATATCAGATATCACAACACTAACTGCCCTCTTCTCCGTACGATATAGAGCTCTCTCCCTCCTCGGTCTCTCTGGCCCCCAGGGCCCCCATCGCATCCTCTTCGTGGCTGATCAACAGCTGAGTCCCTTCACCCACAGTCCACAATCCAGGGCAGTCCTGGCTCTCCCAGGGCAAGATGTACCCTTTGTACGAGGCAGCATGACAGAGCTGCAGGTTCGAAGCCACCGGCCATCGTACATCAATGCCATTCTCATTCAATCTCGCGGCCGGACGGAGCCACATGCATGCCTTGCCTGCCGGAGTGCTCATCCAGGTCTTCGGCAGAATGCCGTCGCCTGCCTGGCCACTTTGGTGGAGCTTGTGGCAACTGCAAATGGCGTGATCATGCCATTCGCTGCTCCGAACGAGATGGGGAAGGGGTGGAGGTGATAGAGATTGTGGATGATGATGATGATGAGGAGGATGGCCCTCAACGGCGGATGAGGGGTCCCTCTGGACAGCAGCTGCTCACAGCTGGTTCAACACCTGCTGCTCCTATAATCCTTGATTAGCTCTCTCTCTCTGGTATGTACAATCTCTTTTCTCTTTCTCTTTCTCTTTCTCTTTCTCTTTCTCTTTCTCTTCTGGAGGGGCAGGTATGTATTATTTCTATTTACTCCAGTCATACGGAGCCTGTGTATGACACCTAGACATGATCTGCACCTCTACGTTGGTGTCTAGGACTAGTAGCCCATATGGTGAAGCCAAGCAGGTCATATAGATAGAAGAAAGATAGAGGAAAGGTAGCTAGCTAGCTAGTCAGATCTACATCAATCAATTTTTACCCACAATATTTTTCTTCAGCCAATCATCTTGTACAGAGCTCCAATAACTGCCAAGATAACATGCCAAGCAGACCCCCCCCGTATAACTCAGTTATCCAGGGGGGGTTTGGCTGGGGTGGCGTCCGGGATAACCTGGTTATTTGGGGGGGTCATGTTATAACGCCGCTAACGCGCCCCGTGGATAACTCCGGTTGCAGCAGCATGACACTAAACTACTTTAATTACAAGTCATGTGCTCAGAGCAATCTTCATCAGAGGGTCTGAGAAGAAACAGTTCATCCTTCTGTGGAGATTGTTGAGATTTTCATAGATTCTTCAAATTGTTCAACTTTAACTTTCAATTACACAATCATCATACATATTTGATATTGGTGAACCACCTTAGCTTGTAGCTAAAGAGAAGAAGAATATAAATATATAATTTTTATATTAAAAAAATCAATATTTAATATAAATGTATCTTGTTGAAAATGATCATTTTTTTTTCTGATTGAAATCAAGTAAATAGCAGATTGTTCCTGTGTTTAAAAAAAAAAGAGTTGACTTTGAGGTGATACTTCATATCTAAGAAATGGGAATATGAAAATAGAAATTGATACCATTGTGAGAACATTGATTTTCCTAGATCTCAAGATGGTACAGAGATGCTGAATAGATGGAGTTGATTTGATATTCTCACTCATGTCTAAAGTATAGAGCAAATCGTTTCTGTGTTGCTAACAAACTGAAACCGTTTTTTCTCAGACACTTCGCAGAATCAAAAACTTATTTGGGTTAGCTCATTACCAATTTGAGATTAGCTTGTTTAAAAGAGTGACTAATCATTAAATCAGTGTTAAAACTAGTTATTAGGCCACTAGGGCAAAAGAGCTCAATCACCACCAGCGCCGTGGTGGTATAGGGTGCGAATCACCCAATCCAATCCCCCCAACAAAAACAGCAATTATCCTGCGAAGCGGCTGAGCTTGCTGAAATAAGAACCACCGTGGAATCCCCGTAAATTAACCCTACGTTCTTCCGGTAAGGATATTATGTTGCGAGCACGTGGGATGTCGCTGATTGGCCCAGAAGTTAGTACGACTTGGCAGAAGTCTAAAGTAGTTTAGTTGATCACGCTAGTCCGAAAATATCGAGAAGAGAGGCTGAGCATGGCTGAGATAAACTTCCACCTTCCACCAAAGAAAAAGAAAGAACGGGTTGGCACAGTACTTCGTACTCCGTACAAAGTAATTCTTTTAGAGAAGAGAATCAGAAGGAGAGAATGTCAAGAATTACATCATAGCAGAGGAATGTTATAGAATACATTGTGATTCTATAAATGGAATCTCAAGAAAAGGATTTTCATATAAGCATGTAGGTACTCCGTACATCAGTGGGCGATGGAGGCAACTACTCACAGATGCTAACCCATCACATTCTTAAGTCCTTTAGAAGAATTATTGATCTAACTAGCAACAAAGAAGAATAATGATGACATTGACCGATTCACAATTTTAATCCTTCAAGCTCTAAAACTCCTAATCAAATGGTCAAAGCCTACGGGGCTGGTAAGGCATGCGTAAAGGATGAAGTCGCTATCCCACGGTTTGCTCCACCTTACCCGAATTGAGTGAGCCGAGGCTAAAATTGCCAACAAATATTCCAACCCCCTTAAAAATTTGAACTCTATCTTTCTTGATCCCATGGTTCGAAATCTCATAGCCAATTTTCAACATCCAGCCACACTTTAAAAGCTTTTCGTGAATTGTAATATTTTGATCAATTATACAAAAGATAATTTACAAGTTTAAAAAGTTATCAATTGGGACAACTGTCTATCACACTGTGCTTCATCTGATATGTAAATTGCTTTCACGGTAAGAGAATTGAATAAATTGAATTCATTCTTGTAATACTGTTAGTTGGCGGCAGCACACGGATACCATTCTACATCTATTATTAAAAAGGTGCCTCTCTTACTTGATTGATTTTATAGTTAAACTTTCAACTAACTTGACTTTGTTAAAATTTAAAAGGTTAAACTTGGTTCCTCGTTTAACTTTGATAAAATTTTAAGTTTCAATCCTCGTTATATAGTACCTTGAATCTTTGAAGTGGCTATTTTTTTGATCTACAATCGTGGCTATGAAATCCCCAGCCTTTTACAGTTGATATAGCTATCAATAGCCGGAACTCTGCTGTGGCTGTAGTACAAAGTACTGTTAATATCATGATTATAAACCTGCTTTTTCTATTTCGTTTTATATCTTTATACAGCTTTCATTATTCTTTCTGATAAATGGAAATATTTATAACATTACAATTCTACAATAAATTAGTTTTTTAAGTTGAATATATTATCTATACCAGTTTTCCGAATTCTACTGATCACATTGATCAATAGCTTTAAGATTACTGTTTACAAAAGTATCAGTTTTCGATATATTTTATCTTTATTACTGAGTTCTCTTTTTGATTATTATTCACAATTCTTTTGACCTTGAAATATTCATTTCATTTTTTTAACTATAACGTTTTGAAAGGTCAATTTTTATTTTTTATTTTTTTCGTTACACAGGTACTAGTAAACTCTTTATAATATTGCACTTCGTTTATTACTCACATAATATCCCCCTTTATATATATATTTCTTTTTTGATTTGAATGTAAAATTTCCCACAAGAAAATCCTCAGAATCAATTGTAAAAAGTTTACACTTGATTTAATTTGTGATGTTTTATTCCTTTATAAAGCAATTATTGGTTTATTTTACACTTATAATGTATCATTTTAAAAACCGAATAACTTTGTCAAAATGCATTTAAAAATCGGGCTTCTTCTAATGCTTATAGTTGTCTCTGTTGTGGCTCAAGAGCCGAAATATGTGTTTGCACATTTTATGGTGAGTTTTCACATCCATCTCAAATTTCTTGTTAACATCTTTGAGGGAGTTCATTCTGCTAATATTCACCAGGTTGGATGTGCTGCTGCTATGACACAAGAGGATTGGATGGCTGATATTCAATTAGCTAAGAAAGCTAATATTGATGCATTTGCACTCAATGTTGGAAGACAAGACAGCTACACGGATGAGGTGCTTTTCCGCGCATATGAAGCCGCAGCAGCTGTTGGAGATTTTGGCTTGTTTATATCATTTGACTATCTTACCGGCGGCCCATGGCCAATGGATGTAGTCATACAAACGATCAACAAATATAGTGGTCACAGCTCACAATTTAAATACCGCAACCAGCCTTTGGTATCCACATTTGAAGGGACCAACAATATCAATGACTGGTATGCAATTAAATCAGCTACTGGGTGTTTTCTCGTCCCGGATTGGTCTAGTTTAGGACTGGCAGGCCTACAGGGGGTGATGAATGTCATTGATGGATTTTTCAGTTGGGATGCATGGCCGGTGGGTGCACAATCAAAATCTTCTGATAATGACAATAAGTATATGTCAACGCTTGGCCAGAAGCCATACGTGATGCCTGTTTCACCATGGTTTTATACAAACCTTAAACAATGGGGGAAAAATTGGCTGTGGCGTGGGGATGATCTGTGGCATGAGCGTTGGATGCAGGTAATTGAGTTGCAGCCAGCAATGGCTGAGGTATGTTATTGCACTATATTCGAAGTATTATATTTCATCCATTTAACTGTTTGTGTATAGATCATCAGCTGGAATGACTACGGTGAATCACATTACATCGGCCCCATTCGTCAACCTGGTATTCCTCCGGGCGCTGAGTGGTATGTTCTTGAAAACCCTCATGATGGCTGGCGACACCTTCTTCCAGCCTATATTGATTTATTCAAGTCCAACAATGCAAGCAACCCTCTCATCGACCATCCCAGCCTTAGTGATACATTTTCCTATTGGTATAGGAGAAACCCTGGAAAGTCTGGGAGTGCTGATGGGACAACAGGTAACAATCCTGCATTCGGCCAGCAACCTTTAGATCCAGCAGTGGTGTCAGAGGATAAAGTGTTTATCACAGCTTTTGTTGCAGAACCTAGTGAGATTACTGTTAAAATTGGTCAATCACCTACCACAAGCCTAAAAGCATCATTTGCAGGAATCAATCATATGAATGTTCCATTCGGTGGGAATACAGGGCCTGTGAATATAAAATTATTAAGAAATGGGGTAGTAATAGCTGATACAACAGGGCCTGAAATCACAAATGATTGTTTTGAGGGGAAAGTCATGTGGAATGCATTTGTTGGATTGAGCTGTGAATGAGGATTGTTGAATGAGATTACTAAGAAGTTAGTTACTCTAATTAAGTTATCATCAAAATTTTTAAGTACAGAGACAAAAAATTCTCCAATGTTTGTGACATCAAAATAAAATAAAAGCCCAGTGGAATTTTGTTGACCAACAAAGGTGTAGATAATTCAGGGGTAAGAATACGGACTATATCAAAGTTAAAATCTCCACTGTACTAGGGGCAGCCTGCTCCCAGCACCCCCCCCCCCCAAAACAAACATCTAAGTTCCAGGGCATTTTTGATTGCTTTGAAGAGGTGGACAGCTCAGGCACAACACTGTATAGCAGGAGCTTCATGAAACATGCAGCTGGGCAGGATGGAGCAAAAGTGCGAAGTCATATTAATATCATCACTAGTTATCATTGCTAGATATCATCGTAGATATCATCGCTATATCATCGCTCTATCATCGGCATATATCATCAGTGGATATCATTCATTCAAGCAGGTAGGTAGGCAGGCAGGTAGATATATAGTCAGATAGCAAGCTAGCATTGATTGGTAGGTGGGTAGCTAGATGGTGATGTTTATGCTCGTAGAGATTGATTGGATATTGATCAGACAGGTAGGTAGGTAGATATGTAGGTAGATAGATAGCTAGGATTCTCTATTGATTGAATATCTATTTCATAAGCAATTGACTGAATATCTAGCGGGCAGGCAGACAGGTAGGTAGGTGGGAAGGTAGATAGATAGAAAGGCAGCTAGCTGGCATTCGCTATTCCATTAGCAATCAATCAATATCAATCAGATAGACAGGTAGGTAGCTTGCATTCTCTATTCCATTAGCAATCGATCGGATATCGAGTAGGTAGGTAGGTGGTTGGTAGGCAGATAATTCAAGAGTAAAGCATAGAAGGCATCAGAGCCAATTGCAGACGGGTGTTAAAAAGTCAAGTGAGAGATCCAGAAATCTGCTCTGCACCAATAATACCATTGAATTTCAATCCACTTTTAATCATTTCAGCCATAAAATGAAGCAACTTTTGAAGACGTTCATATGATTCTAGGAGACTTCAGCAGCGTAAGACTTACAGCAACTTAGATTCTCACACTTTACTGAATCCAGCTAGACTATACACAAAATGTTGAACATTGCTCCACTCCTAAGTGGCAGTTATCAATGGAAATGAGTACACCCAATATCCACCAAGATGTGATAATATCCTTTTGAAGAAGGTGGGATTCGAACCCACTACCTTTTTGTCTTAGCAGTGGTGGTCCCAACACTAAGTGCCTACTTGAGAATGCATTTCACCAACAGCGGTTACCACTACGCCATCCAACCCCTTTTATGTTACTAGCCTTTTCAGAAGGGAATTACCCTTTATAGAACTTAGTCGGTACAAATGGTGTTGAAACAACAGTCGCCTTGTGTACCTTTTTTCTAACAAGAACACCAACCTCAGTTCCCTTCTTATGGAACCCCTGCTTCACATATCCCATTGCAACATTTACCCCACCAAGTGTTGGGCTTGGCAAACCAGATGTTACCGTACCAATCTGTGTTGAGCCATCTGCCATGTCGATAATAGGTGCATCTTTACGTGCTGGTGGCCCTGTCTCAATGATCAGCCCAATACGTCGTTCTGTAAGTGTCTTCGTGGGCGACGTGAGTTGTGGTAAAATCACTGAAGCGCCATTGAAGGCTGAGGAAGAGGATGATGGGTCACGTCTGTCCTTGCCAATGAGCCAGCTGAGGGAAGCAGTGGGGGGTGTTTGCGCAACAGTTATGTCGTGGCCATATAAGCACATGCCAGCCTCAAGGCGAAGGGAGTCACGAGCAGCAAGGCCGGCGAGGCGGACACTCGGATTGGAGAGCAGAAGTTGAGAGACTTTCATGGGGAGCTGTGGGTCTATATCTGTGGGGATAGATATCTCAAAGCCATCTTCTCCTGTGTAGCCTGTACGGGAAATGAGGAGGTGGGATGGTGTGTGCGTTCCATCTGGGAAATTGAGGTGGAGGAAGCGGCATTGACAAAAGTGAAGAGTGCTGAGGTCTGAGTTGGTTCCTGCTTCATCAGATGTGATGAGTGATTGGAGAATGGAGGCGCTCAGGGGGCCTTGAAGTGCGACTAGAGCATGGTTATCAAGGACGGACCAGCTGATGATGGATTTGTGTGCGGAAGAGTTATGCCTCCATTTGAAGTTCTCAATTTCCTTGTGAAGAAAATCCAGGTCTTCCTTGCGGCGACCAGCGTTTGTAACGAAATAGAATGATTCAGGGCCCAGGCGGGTGATGACTGTGTCATCAATTATACCTCCAGTTTCCTCATCAAGGAAGCATGATAGCGTGGAGTGATTGATTTGTAGCAGGTTCAGAGAGGATGGTGTAACTTTCAGGAGAAGGTCTAAAGCCCCAGGGCCGGAGATATGGTGTTGAACCCTTTAAAGGTGGAATTGTCAGTCTGAGTGATCATTAAAGAAAGAGAAACATTCTACATTAATTCTGGCAGTAATACATACATATGGCTCACATCGAACAAGCTAGCCTTGTTTCTTGTCCAGTTGTGGCTTTCAGTATGACTCAAGTCACTATACACCAGCGGCATGGAGAATCCTGCAAAGGGTGACATCCGTGCCTTGTGAGCAATATGGAGGTCATGGAGCTGGGTTTTTTTCAATGTCAAAACTGCCGTAGATGAGGAAGCAAGATTCCGACTTAAGAATGTGTGATGGAGGAAATAATTAGCTGAAGAGTGCAACGGCACACGACTGCGAGAGGAGGCTTCTGCGGGGATGGTGAGTTGGCCGAGTGCCCGCGAGCTCAATGGTCCGCAGCCATTGCCAAGTCGGATGGCTGGTGTGGTATATACAGGCCTTAGCCATGGGAGAGCGGCCCGTTTGAAAATTGAAGGGGCAGTCGATGGCTTCATGATAAACAGTTTGCTAGCATACAGTTCGATGACAACTGGATGACAGAAACAGATTCTAGTCTGTTCAGATGTGCAAGGTGTCAGTCTGGTTAGGTAATCAACAGCGCAAACCACGAACGGTAGAATTCCTGGGGCTAGTTAGCCAAACCTTGCATACATGTCATTACAACATTCCTCTGTAAAAGCCAAGGGTTGTAAATATTAATTTTCACTAGGAAAATGAAATAACCCCTATTTCGCTATCAGGAAAACATTACGTAGTATCCTTGTTTGTATGATACTAGTATAGAACGGGAGTTGCCTCAAGTTAAAGAATATATGATATCGATTATTCGGAGAGACAAAGGCTAGTAAGAGCTTCAGAACAAGAAAAAAAGCTTTAACAAATTTCACTTGACATATTTATTCAGTCTTAAGAAAACAAGACTGTGGCTGTTGCAAGAATAATACTCTGAAAACTCTCAGCACCCTTTTATATATTGAATATTCCAATTGATTAAAATATGTGGTTCATAGAACATATTATACACTGTGCTCAGCTCACAAAGAAACAAGATGTAGCACAGTCATCATAAATAAATGAACTGTTCACAGTGTAGCACTCAGAGGTGAGACTATATATAGCCTTTCAGAATGACACTTTCAGCCTACATTCAGCACACAATTGTCAGCACATATTTGAACAACCAATGATGGAATTAGAAGGCGATGCAAAAACTAACATTCAAAATGCTACTACCTGATGCCCCCAAGACTGTATTATGACTGAGTGCAACAAACTGAATGTCAAAGACCCCACTCTCATCTGCTCTGATTCTGCCTATGCTGATTGTGTAGCCTCCCCCAGCGTCTCTGTCAAGACGAGGTTGTGGCCTATCCACTTCATCTAAAACATGAATGGCACGCTTTGGAGCAGATGGGCACCCTAGCAATTGAACCTCTGATGTGTACTCAACGAATGCATCACGGACCTGATCTACCGTTGGTGCAGGTCGATTTAAGAAACGCAATGATGCGCACACGGTATGGCCATCAAGGACAGGGACTCGATTACATGCAACCGAAATTCGAAGGGGATGCTGATCACTGAACCCTGCCAGATCAGAGTTCAACCTGCCTAGAATCTTTCGCGCTTCTGAGGAGATCTTGCCCTCCTCACCAGGGATGTGGGGAACGATGTTATCGAAGATGTCCATACCTGACACAATCAGTTACTCATGATATGCAAAGAACATAGTATTGTACTACATTGACGTTTGCACTTACTGCTGACGCCAGGATAGCCTGCTCCTGACACAGCCTGCATGGTTACCATGCTCACAGACTCAATAGGGCCGAATTTCTGAATAAGCACTTTGGCTGGAATTACCAATCCCACGACCGCGCAATTTGAATTGCAAACAATCATTCCCTTTTGAAGGCCATAACTTTTCCTCTGGGCTGGAATCACGTCGACATGCCCCATATTGACTAAGGGTATCACAAGTGGTACCATAGGATCTAGCCGATGATTCTTTGCATTGGAAAAGACTGCAAAGTCTGCCTTGAGAAATGCCATCTCAATATCCCCAGCAACATCAGGGTCTAAGCCGGAGAATATGATGTCGCAGTCTGGGAATTCAGATGGGGTACAAGGTCGGATAGTGAAGTCTGCAACTTGAGCTGGAATTGGGGATGATTGCTTCCAGCGCACAGCATTGCAGTACTTTTTACCCACTGACCTCTCTGAGGCACCTACAGCTACCAGTTCGAGTAAGGGATTTTTCTCCAGCAGCAGGACGAACCGAGTCCCAACTGCACCGGTGGCTCCTAGGACGCCTAGGCAAGGATCAGTGATGCCATCCATTTTTTTTTTCAACAGAGTCATCAGTGGAATGGGATTACCGCAGCGTTTTTTTGAAAGTGTGGACATTGTTAGGTGTATCTAGCGACCAATTTCAGTAACATCGATGTCAAGAAATCTTGGACGAGAAGGCGATAATTTGATTCGAAAGGATTATCAATGAAGATATTCTGGCTCGGATGGATATGGGTAACTATGGCAATTTATCCCATCTACAATTCTTTTAAGAGTGATGTGAATGGTTATCGCACGAAAATTTTTGACGATCGTGACGGTGCTCTTCACTAGGACTTCCAAAGGGTGTTGTGCACGGGCCTCAAATTGAACTTGGCAAAAACGCGAGGCTAGGCGGAGTTTTGGAGGTCCTCACAAGCCTGTTAGTGGTACTACGGCTACCCTATCACGTGCCCCCCAACATATTGTGTTGCTCTCGCGTAGTTAGTTTTAGTAATGACAACAACGTTATCCTCCCACAGGTTATGGCCCTTATAAGCTACGAAAGAGCTGCGAAATAACGTGCTAACTACGTCTCCACGCATCGTTAAAAGCGTGCCTAGACGGCTGTTAAGTGATTTGAACCCCATGGTTAATTTGAGATCGGGTGGAACGCCTGATTTGACGAAAGAATACGTGACAACGCGTAGAAGAAGAAATCCCCAAACGCCAGAGGCACAACAGGAATCGAACGCAGGTTTACCAACGCCTGCAACCAACAAGGTGACTGCCCCGGGGGCATTTGAACCTGACGACACAATCGAAGAGGAATCGAACGAGTCGAATATCGAATACGAAGACCCGGTTAACGACAACGAAATGTCAGATAACGCGGGTGGCCCTAGTAGCCATGATGTGAGCGAGGAAACTCGCATGAGATTGGAGATCGCGAGACTCCAGCATGAAGTCCAACAGATGAAAGCAAGTAGAGGTGAACCCTCTGCTAGTGATGAGAACATTAATGCAGATTTAGCAAACTATCTGCAGAGAAAAGGCAGAACGTCTGCTATTGTGAAGATTCTTAATGAATTCCGTGACCAAGTGAGATTCATAAGGGAGCCAGTTATCCTCACTGGTTTTGTGAATTATTCAGTGTGGAGGGAAGAGATCCTCCTCGCAGCGAGGCAATCTCATACAATTGATATCATAGATGAGAGACAACTTGGACCCAAAGAGGATGCCAGTGCTGATATGCAACGGTTTTGGAAAGAATGCAATATGTGGCTGTATAACTACATGTGGTTTGCAATCACTCTGCAAGCAAGATCTTATCTTGTTACACCCAAGGAACTATCTGCCTATGCTCTGTGGACAGCTATAGAAGATATCTTTGCTGGGCGGCCTGCCAGCAATGCCAACACTGCCAGCAATGCCAACGATGCCAACGATGATGTTGGTGATGATATCAGCGATACCAGTGATGATAGCGGCTACAGCAGTGTGGATATTGATATGGATTCCAAGATGGAATGTTTGGATGGATCAATGGAGGACAATCCTACAAGTGATAACAATCCTACAAGCGATAACAATCCTACAAATGAGGACGATCCTGTCCTGAGCACCCTAACTGACCGCCCAACTACCGTGGCGGAAGCCAAAAGGAGCCCTGATTGGGACTACTGGTATGAGGCGATGAAGAAAGAGGTCAGCATGTTTGAGAACAAGCAGACATATATTGTCGTTGAGAAGACCCCAGGCATGGATATCTTAACTGGTAAATGGGTGTTTGATCGCAAGTTGAACAATAAGGGAGAAACAATCCGGTTTAGAGCTCGCTGGGTGGTTAGGGGATTCCTCCAACAACAAGGAGTCCACTATACAAAGTCGTACGCCGCGGTGGTATCAGGACCCACGTCACGGAGCTTATTCGCAATCTCAACGGCAAAGGGGTGGAAGGCAAAGGCGATCGACTACGTCTCCGCGTTTTTGAACGGCATACTACCGCAGCACGAGATGGTATATATGCAACTGCCTACAGGGATTAAGCACGGCAGGGGGGGCCTGGTTGGCCTGCTCCGCCAGAGCCTTTACGGGATGAAGCAAGCAGCGAGGGTGTGGTATTTCCTTGCGACGGAACACCTCACCACTCTAGGATTCAAAATCTCGCCGTACGATGGCGGATTCTTATATCACCCTATTCGCAAGATCTACCTGACATTGCACGTCGATGACTGTCGGGTAACGGGACCCCAAGAGCAGCAATTAGACTGGATATTGGCAGAGATTGCTAAAAGGTTTGAGACAAAGGATGTCGAAGAGAACAAGCCCTACCTTGGAATGGAAGTCAAACGTCAAATGAACGGCGACCTAGCGGTTACCCAGAACCGTTATATCGATGAGATCCTTGAGGATTTTGGAATGGACAAGGTCAACCCGGCCAGCACGCCGATGGCGGCCGGCATACGCCTAGAATTCTCACCAGATGAAGATAGCGGGTTAGATGACGATTTTACTGCTACTAGATATCGTCAAGGCTTAGGATCGCTGCAGTATTTGGTGTCAAGCAGCAGACCAGATCTGGCATTCGCGGTCAACTACCTCTCACGTTTCAACTCGCGTCCGCACAAGGAATGCTGGGCAGCATTAAAACACGTCCTACGCTACGTCAAGAAAACGAAGGATCACGGAATCCTATACAAGAAGGAGATGATTGGGGGACTCAGTCCTGTCGCGTACAGCGACTCAGATTGGGCAGGGGCAGACCCCCAATACAAGTCAACTACAGGTTACATTATCCTGCTAAACGGATCACCAATCTCGTGGCGGTCGCAACGGCAGACCTCAGTTGCAAAATCAACCACTGAGGCGGAGTATATCGCGGCAAGTGAGGCAGCGTGCGAAGTGATCTGGCTGAATGACATGTTATTTGATGCTGGATTAGTAGAAGGGAAAGCGAAGGTATGCTCGCACCTGCGAGTTGACAACAAGGGCGCGATAGATCTAGCAAAAGGGGAGTCCTTGACAAGGAGGTCACGTCACATCGAGATCAGATACCATATCCTTCGCGATCTGGTTGAAAAAGGCGAAATCATGATGGAACACGTTGGTTCTACGGCCAATATAGCTGACGGCCTCACCAAGCCACTGGCAAGGCCTGCCTTCGAAGAATTTGTTAAGAGGATTGGCTTAATGGAAATTGGCAAGAAGGGGTGAAGGTAATGATGATACGGGAGTTTACAGATTTTGCTTGTGTTATCCTGTTTTTTACGGTTATTGCCATACGGGAGCCTATTCCCAAAGAGGAAATCAGGGTCTGATTCTTGTAATTAATTATTATTGCGTTTTTAGAAGAATTGAGCAAGGGAGGGGCCCCCGGGCGGCAGAGCTTTGGCGGCGCCGTAGCACGGGGGGGTGTTAGTGGTACTACGGCTACCCTATCACGTGCCCCCCAACATATTGTGTTGCTCTCGCGTAGTTAGTTTTAGTAATGACAACAACGTTATCCTCCCACAAAGCCCTATCCCACGTGACCCACACAAAACATCCATATACTGTAATGATCCACGATAAGATCAGTCAGGACCCCCTCTTGCACTGCAGAACACACATCTGAAAGACGCGATGAACCATTAGTAATACACATTTGAATTAGTTAACTACCTTTGCACTCACAATATGATGGCTTAAATCATGTCTCTCACTCCAACCCTTCAACTTACTCTAATACTAATCTAATTCTAATTCATAGCCTCTAACTGAAGATGAGTAGTAATCTATCTTAGGATGGTGTGTTGTGGGTGTGTTTTAGATGGGTGGCAGACGTTAGGCGAGGTAACTCACTCCAATAATAGTAACTAGTTGTCCCCAGTTTATATTTGTCATCATTTAAAATGCTTGGCAAAAATCTCATCCACGGCTTTCTTGAATTTGATCAACAACTTGATCACAGTGCTGAAGTTGTTGGTGGCAGATTTCCCTGCCAAACTCACTATTTTACTGGTATCTAGCATGGCTAACACACTCTCTGTCCGTAGAGGCCATCCTATTTTATGCCACAGGTCGCTCTCAGATGGATCATTTATCCAAAATCATAATCAGTGCAAAGCCTCCTCATACAAGTTCACAAACTCATGTCCTAGCCCTCACGGACCGGTTGCCCACTCAATATCACCGACTGGTCACCCACCCAGTGCGCAGGTCTCCGTCAAGGACAGTGGAATTGTGTACAGCATCTTGAGAGGGTCCCTCAGCAATATCCCTCCAATCACTCCCAAATCAGTTGCTACAATTTTCTACAAGGTGCGTGGTTCATTTTTTTTGTCATATTCACTTCAATTCATTAACTCCACAGTTAAAACTGTCCAATCAGCTTCTCATTCTGACTCATGTACCTGGTTCGGTTCTGACATCAGACCTTGAACAGGGTTCCCAAGAATCTCCAGCTTTTGCATCAGAAACATTAGATTGTCTCTTTGGCTCATATGTCTCAGAGTTATGTCTCACACGTTTTCTGCAGATAATGGAGAAGCTATCCATTCCATATCAGCAGATGAGCAGCTCTCATCGCTGCTTGGATGAAGAGAATCAGCCACGAGTGGTAGAAGTGACAATGGGTCCTCCTCCAAACCCAGAGTATTTATCCTTTGAAGATATGCGGAAACATGAGAATATATGGAAATTTGAGCAGGAATGGAATGTGGAAGTCGTCTTGCAGAAAGAAAGTGTGTTTCGCAAACATAAGCGGTTAGCTGTTTTTGATATGGATAGTACTCTCATCCAAGAGGAGGTCATTGATGAGATTGCCAGGTTTATTGGTTTGGAGAAAGAAGTTTCAGTGCGTCCCGCTTCAATTCTCATAATTCCATAGACATGATTAATATCAATGCTTATACTGGGTCTACGTTAATTACAGGAATTAACTATGCTTGCAATGAATGGTGAGCTTGACTTCTCAGCTTCCTTAAAAGCTCGTGTGGGCCTCCTAAAGGGTGTACCTGCAGATGTTTTTGAAAGGCTGAAGTCCACTATTACTATCTCACCTGGTGCCCGCGAGCTTTGCAGTGCCCTAAAAACCCTAGGATACAAGATGGCCGTTGTGAGCGGCGGCTTTCAACCCCTTGCAGATTGGTTGGCCGGTGAATTAGGGCTGGACTATGCCTTTGCCAATCATGTAGGAATCAATCCTGCCATTTCAATTGACCACGCGTGTGCTTTATTTTCTGACGAATTGAACCTCATGTCATAAAGCTCGAAATCGACAATATCACTCAATCCCTGACTGGTAACCTTATGCCAGGGTATCCAATCATTGACGCTGCACGAAAACGACATATACTCCGCACCCTTGCTGCTGATAATGGTATTTCTATGATGCAAACGCTGGTGGTTGGTGATGGTGCGAACGATCTCCTCATGCTGAAAGAAGCTGGGTTGGGTGTGGCATGGAGGGCGAAGACCAAGGTACAGCTAGAAGCACCAACTAGGCTTAATGGCACGTCGCTCAAGGATATTTTGTACCTGCTGGGATTACAGGAGGAGGATATCAAAGAACTAATTGTGGCTGGAAAGGCAAGAAAGGCAGGCAGGCTAGTTTAAGTAAGTTGTGGTCTGATTAGGCTTTTTTGTTTTCCTCCTTGATCTAAGATTTGTTGAAATTCTCAGCTGAGGAAGTGAATCTTTGTAGAAAGTCGTGAGCTGACTTTCTGATTAGTTTGTTGCTAAATAAATATCACTCACACTAAGTGTGATTAGCAAACAATCTACATAAGATGATTACGAAAGGCTTTATCTCCAATTCACGGATTTTTATACCGCAGCATAATAAAAAAGGCCAATGGTGTAGTGAGTGAAATACAGCGAGTCCTCCGAAACTCAATCATCTACCTATTTCCAAACATAAATCTATTCCCAAGGATATCTTGTCAGTCAACAGTTCAGTGTACCGACCTTGCAGTTTCTGTTGGCTCTAGGCTTTCTATTACGTATTAGAACAACGCACACATACATGCCACAGCTGCCTACATGCTAATACAGCTCAGACATCACTTCGAATAGTTTCTTCCCTGCCGACCTTGGGAATTTGTAAATATCACGTGATTAACGCGTGTCGTCATGCATGGATATTCCCAACCCCCCCCAGCAGTGAGAACAAATCACCCACATAACCCCCCTCCCAACATGGTAGTGAGTAGGGAGGCAGCGAGGCAGCCAAGCGGAACGGTACATCCCTGCTGGAGAGCACTCCTTTGAGCGGCTGGCAGGAATCCAGGTGACTTATGATCTTTTGGCCTGGGTGGTTAGCACAGTATATGCCTGGCTGGTGCTGATAATGACAGTCTGCCTCCTACTCCCAAATCATCTCTATAGTATGACAATCTCTTGCTGCTTGAGGGGTAGAAGGCAGGCGGAGAACATATTCAATTTGTCTTGGATACAAGGTTGCACAGTAGAAGTACCAAAAGAGCTTTAAGAACAGAGACCGCACAGCTAACCTCAAACCTAGCCTCAAATCCAAACCTGCTTGGAGAAGAGATAGGGAGATTCTTTGACTGTGGGGTTCCTCTTGCTTCGGTTTGTATTCCAGTGTACTGTACTGTACTACTGGAAGTTATTTTGGATGTACAGAATAGAAGTATATATAAAACTATTCCTGTAAATTATAAAGTAGTGCCATTTGGTGGGGTGGGTGGGGTAATCAACCCCACGATTAAATTATTGTAGTTAGTGATCATGGCCAGCCAAAAAAAGAAATCCCAATCCAAGACGATATAATTTCCATCCAGGGAAGGCCACATCACCATAGCCATATCACCGCCTACTGTAAACTATACCGATACAGCTTTTACTAATGGCCTCCGAAAACCCGAGAAAAAACCCCCAATTCCATCTATATTCCTACTACCGCTCCTCCTGCGCCGCCCGCCTCCGTATCGCGCTGAACCTCAAACAAATCCCTTACACAACCACGTTTGTAAACCTGCTGAAGGGTGAACAACTTTCACCAGCCCACCGCGCGCTGAACCCTTCCGCTACGGTTCCGATTCTCATCATCACCTCAAGCTCTAACCCCAACCCAACCACCTTCAGCAGCATGACTGACAATCCAACGACCTCCATCACAATCGGCCAATCCATTGCTGCGCTTGAATACCTTGAAGAGATATCCATCAATACAAATACAAATACAACCCCTCTCCTCCCCCCATCCACCTCACCAGATGCCCGCGCCCAAGTCCGCACCCTTGTTAATATCATAGCATGCGATATCCAGCCTGTCACAAACCTGCGGATCCAGCAGCGTGTCAAAGCCCTGGGCGCAGATAACACTCTCTGGGCTCATGAACTGATGGAAGCTGGATTTGCGGCACTCGAAGCGCAGATGTTGACCAGTGCAGGCCAGTATTCAGTTGGTGATGATGTGTCAATGGCAGATGTGTGCCTGGTGCCAGCAGTGTGGGCAGCGCAGAGGTTTGGGGTAGATTTGGGGACGTTTCCCACCGTGTCCAGGGTGGCGGAGATGTTGGAAAGTTTGGAGGCGGTGAGAAGGGCGCATTGGGCGAGGCAGCCAGACACACCAGAAGAGTTAAGGGCAGTGGATTGACCTTTTTTTTTTTTTTTTTTTTTTTTTTTTCAACATGTGGATTGATTGCTTCTATCTGTGTCGAGGTCGGTTCTGTATATATTTAGCTTTTAAGGCTTATATTTCATATCTTCAAGAAACCATTTTCTTTGGCAAGACTACAGCGTACATTATTTAACTAAACATGAAATTAATAATCCGTTGATATCTAGATCTGAGGAGCTGGTAAAATGATGGCAGCGCAGTCACCAAAGCCAACGTAGCTACCCTCCTTCCCACATGCACCACGAAGAATAACCTCATCACCATCCTGCAAGAAAACTCGTTCAGATCCGTCTGCAAGCTTGATTGGATTCTTCCCACCATTGGTGTTCTCCAAAAAACTCCCCAGAGTCCCAGGTTTGTCTCCTGAGATTGTCCCACTGCCTAAAAGATCACCAGTTCGCATGTTACAGCCAGTAATCGAATGATGAGCCAACATCTGTGAGAATGAGAAGAGCAAGTTCTTTGAGTTTGACTCAGCAATCTTGGTGTCCTTGCCATTAACAACAAGATGTACTTCAAGTGGGATGTCATATACATTCTCTATCTTCTTCTCCTGAAGATACGGGAGCAACGGCTTTCCGGGTTCCAAACCCTGGGTACGAAATGGCTCCAAAGCATCCATCAGAACTACCCAGGGTGTGATAGTCGTTGCAAAGTTCTTTGCATTGAAAGGGCCCAAAGGAATGTATTCCCAAGCCTGGATGTCCCTGGCAGACCAGTCGTTCATCAGGACAACACCAAAAAGATGATCCTCGGCCTTGTCGATGGGGATCGGCTCGCCCAATTGGTTGCCCGTGGCGACGAAGACAGCCAGCTCAAGTTCAATGTCAAGCTTTTTGCAAGGGGAAAATATGGGCTCCTTGGGCGTGATGGTTGGATCGGAGAGGATTTGGCCATTGGGCCGCCGGATGGGTTGTCCCGAGACAATGACGGATGATGCTCGCCCATGGTAGCCAACTGGTAGGTGTTTGTAGTTCGGCTGCAGAGCGTTATCGGGCCCTCGGAAGAGGACTCCCACATTGTAGGCATGATTGAGGCCGGCGTAGAAGTCTGTATAGTCACCAATGTTTAACGGGAGATGGTTTGTGACATCTTTTCGCAGAATCAGCGCTGATTTCTTGAGAGGTTCATTCGTTTTCAGCAGCTCGGGGTAGGGTGTGTTTTCTTGGAAAATTGCCTGTAGATATTCCCGTACGCGGCGATGAACGGGTCTACCGAGGGCAGCAAAGTCATTCAATGTGGGCTGGGCGAAGACGTCGAGGTGTTGCTGGAAGGAAGGCAACTGGGCAAAGCCGCCACCAGAAGCAAAAGTGAAGAGATCAAGAACATAATCACCAATCGCAATTGCTGGATGGCGGTTGGTTGAGGCTGGGGTGGATATGATCCCGAAGGGTATGTTCGCTAATGAGAACGGCGAGTCCCTGGGAATTGGATGCCAGGATGCTGATGTCATGGTTGGGGATGAAAGGTATCTGTTAGAAATCTGCCAATTACTGGAGCGGCGGTGAGGGCGAGGGCAAGAGCGAGGCGGGGGCTGGAGATAGGAATTGTGAGGTCTTGTCCGCGTGGAAGTTTGGGCATGAGTCCACACCAAGGAAGGGGAAAGTTCATGTACAACCGGCCCCTGAAGCATGGAAATGTTTCCGCACGTTTATCCACGGCCATCCCCCACCTCTTGGCACATAGTGCCCCGCGCAGGGCAAATTTCCCGCAGCTGGTCGCAGTCGGCCACAGGAAACCCGAACCTCGCTAAAAGCGCCATCTGCCCTCGAATTTTTCTGCCAAGCCCAACTTGTGTGTCAAGAGGAGGTTGAACATGGTTGGTTGTTACCTATGATACTATTCCACTGTGCCAAGCATATCTCACTACCTCCCATTAGTGAGTGCGCCACACTGTAATGGAATTCTGGAAGCGGCGGCTACAGGGTAAGACGGATTAAATGAAACCCCGTTCGCTCCATTTACAATAAAACAACTTTGGAGGAAGTATATAGAGGGCATATTCGCTGGGATTTCCAATCATGTCTTATTCGGCAATGCAATTCTAATCTAGAGCTCGTGGAGGATATTGGGGTTAAGAAATCAGTGAATTTGTAGGATGCATGCAGATAGCAGAGGGATTTGATAGATGACGCTGGTGGACGATGCTATCCTTTCGCAAAATTACAGCATTGAGGGTTATCGCATGCGGTTAAAAAATTATATATCAAAATAAAACAGAGAAAGTAACGACCAAAAGTTGAAATGACGGCAAAGAATGAACAAATGCAAAATATATCAATCACAATGCGCCACAGCAGTCTATTGCAGCAAGCAGAAATATAAAACAACGGAATCTAAATCATGCCAAGTGAAAGAAGCAAAATTTCCACCGAGCATCCCAAGAATAGATAAAAGTTCAAGAGTGATTATGGGCTGTCAAAATCAGAGGTAGGCGCCGAGACGCCAATCGTCATCAAAAAGACTTGTATGCAATGCAACTCTAGGTAGTGCAACATGGACATGTCGAAAGGGGGAACCGCTTATTGATGTAGTGGGTCAGAATGTGCTCCAGCTCCAGTCTCTTGGAACGCTGCTTGCCGCGAGGCCATCCTGATCGATTGCCTGAGGGATGCCACTCGGACTGTTAGGAGAGACGTAATCGGGGCCAAGAGCTCGCATCGTCCTCGCAGACGATGGCTTTTTATCTTTCATATCTTCTAAATCGGAGCCAAGACCTTGCTGTATGTTATTGAGTCGCGTGGCGCGAGCCTTTTGCCAGCGGCAGTAGGCATTCCAGCAGAGATCGCACGCGCGTGAAGGGATCCCATCAGGATGAAAGCTGGCATTCTGATCCAGGGGTACCATGTGGAGAGTATGTGAATAGCAAAAGACATGTCCACAGTGCCGGCAATGATGTCGGCGAAGGAAGAGACCAAAGAAAGAGCGGCAAGTGGGTGAATCGCAGTTAGGGGATGCCGAATCGGCCTGGAAGGATATTTGTGAGCATGTCTCTAGCGTGGAGCAAGGGATCGAAGTACCAAAAAAATCGGTCGTATAAGGGAATTCATCGTGGAGCGATTGCATGCAGGGAACGAAAATAAGTCATATGGTTTCAATACCTTCCAATGATCCCGAGTGGGTGAACCAGTCACCTCTCCCAGATTTTCATCCTTCATCCACACGTCCTCAGCACATTTGCTCACGGCGATTTCCGTGCTCTCAGACGATGAAGTCCGGCGAATAGGGCCAGCACTTGTCGATTGACTATCCAGACTGTCTAAGGAGCCATGAAAACTCCGTGGAGGGGTGAGAGGAGGAGGTTTTGTTGCGCGTGCTGTGGGCCGGAGAACCGCGGGAACGTACAAGGGAGATTTTGGGGGGCGGAGCTGGCGGCATTGCGGGGGTAATTGAAGAAGCTGAGCCTTTTGTAGCTTGGGGGAGGTGGGAGAATTGTTTGCTGGTGTCGTGGTGGCAGAACTCATTGGCGAAGGGGCCTGGATTGAAGAGATTGGGTTGTTTGTTGCAGCTTGAGATGTGACCGTATCTGACATCGATGTAACGGAGCCGTGTGAACGGTTAGTGTTGGAGGCAAAGGAGGCTGAGAACGCGAGGACGTGTGGAAGTGGGTTTGTTGGGAGAACAGAAGTCAAGTCCGATAACGTAATCAACCACTCAACGCCCGTCTACACTCAACGCCCGCTATTTTGCCACCACTACAATGAAATATTTTCATTAATATCTCAACAACGCAATTAGATTTTAATATGATATATTATATGATGAAAATATATATAGAAAATTACATATAAAAATATATAGCTAATTCAAAAGATGTTTGTTGGGCTTAATAACTCGCCCGGAACGCGAAATCTTGGGTGGAGGCAGATTCAATGAGCAGGCAGCGGTCAAATCCGTAGGGGTTGCAATATCATCCGGACCCCCCGGCGGCGGACCCGCGGGCAACCTGGCAGAGCTCTGAAAACGCGATTTAGCCACTCTTTGCGAAATCGAGGGTCTGATTTCCCGATTAGGAAGGTGATTTTTGGACCCCCGAACCTGGCCCCCCCCCAACCGCGATTGCTGCCGCGCAGCAGCTCGTTCTTCCTTTTCCTTTTGCTCTTGGGCCTTCTTTGCATCCCTAAGCTCCCTGTCAATCTGCCGTTGAGCGGCTCTTGCGGCCTTATCCATCTCCTTTTGCTCCTTAGCTGCCTGGCGAGCTACCTCCCGCTCCATTCGCTGTAACATGATATCTGTCTCCTTCTGCTCCTTAAGAATAGCGTGTTGCAACTTGGCATCCTCCTTACGAGCCTGTTCATCCTTTTTGGCGGCCTCTGCGGCAGTCATCTGCTCGCGGATGCTCTGCACCTTTGCCGGTGAAAAGAACTGTGCCAATGACGGATTTGAAGAATCTAGCAACCCCATTGCCCTGCCACGCTTGCGACGTCTTCTTTCCTGATTAAGAGCTTGCTGTAGCTGCCTGTTCTCTATTAAAAGAACCTCTTTATCAAGAGCAAGATTCTCTCCTGCACGGATCACCTGGTTGAGATCGCTAGATATTTGACGCTGCCGCTGCTTGACTTGCTTGACTAATTTCCGCATGCCAATAATAGATGTAGGGGTTCTGGGTCGATATTGCGCATCTGGGGGGGTGCAAGGGCGTATTGCAAGCTTTTTAAGAACCTGTTCTGGATCAAATGGATGTAGGCCAACCGCAGCGAACGCGGATATAATATTTGAGGATGTAACTGATTCCTTCCAAGCAGCATCAAATAGCTGCCAAAAAGACCTCTTTGTAGTGCGTACAAATCCCATACCGGTTCTCATTCGCTCATTCAAATGCTTAGAATATGATTTGCTCAATGGTCCAAATATCCCAACATCTAGCGGTTGTAATCGGTGTGTAGAGTGGGGAGGAAAGACAGCAAGTAAAATCTTATGCTGAGCCGCGTAATTGATGAATGCCATATTAACATGGGATGAGTGGCCATCTAATATAAGAAGCCTGTATCCACGCCCTGCTTTCTTTTTTGTATGAGGTTCAAAGATCTTCTTTAACCACATTAACCCATATTCATCATTGCTCCATCCATTCTCTGAAGCAGCAAAGTAGACCTGATCCTTTTTGCTATCAAAATCTTCCAGCCAAGTATCTTGCATATCCCTTGATTCCCCTTGATATATGAGAGCAGGTGGGAGTGAGGTTCCATCGGCGCAAATTGAGGCAAGTAGTGTAATGAATTCGCGGCTGCCATCCTGGCTGGCACCTATTGTACGGCCGGATTTGAGCGCATTAATTGATACAATACGCTTGAGGGTGTGGATGAAGCCCAATAGGAATCCTTTTTCATCGAAGTTGTAGATATTCCCAGGTTCAATATTGTATTTAGTGATCTTTTCCTGTAGCTGCAAATCAACAATAAATTAGCAAGATAAAAGTAAGAAAAGCAGTAGAGAAAAGCAATATATACAAGATCAAAATAATGCTTAAAGTATGTAGAATTGTCCGCAATCTTGCGTTTTTGGTCGATATTTCGCAGGTAAACTGACTTGATTACATCCTTGTGGCGTTGACAGAACCTTGCCACCCAGTTGGCTCCAATAGGTTCTTTTAATATCTCAACAACAAGATTATGAAGGATTTGGGGCGTACAAGGGAAACCGCGATCTGCCAATCGATTGATATGAAAAAGGAGTCGATTTTCTTGCGAATCTGTGAGGATTTTGCGGTGGATAGAGGTTGCTTCCTTTCTTGACGTTTGAACACCTCTATAGCGCCGTGAGAGTGTATAACGACTGATTCCATATTTCTCAGCGGTCACAGTGTAATTAGGAACCAATTGGGCATTCAAATCATCAATCGCGGACAATATAACTGCCTCGTGGTGCATCTTGTGGGTGTTTGAAGATGGATGAAAAAATGAGGATTGGGTGGGCGTTGAGTGTAGACGGGCGTTGAGTGGTTGATTACGTTACAAGTGGATTCTTGAACAGGGTACAGATGCCTCTGTATAAAGTTTTAACTATTCACGCTAGAGAACGCCATCCTGGGTAAGAATTACGGATAGTCTGAATTGCAAACATTTTGCCTAGAGTTGATGACTCTCATTTTCTTATTCTTTCCATTTTCATTTTCATAATAAATAAACCTAATGCCGAGCTCTCGTAAATATTTCTTCTCATAAAATCAGTCATATATATATATATATAAAGAGCTTTCACTTGTGAATTCAATCCTCATCTTACTCATCTTATCCTTTGTAACTAATAACTAAGTGATTAAGAGATTCTTCTTGCAATAGCAGATCTATAAAGCGAACTTCTCAATTCAAGAGCAGGTTTTAATGAAGGTACATCAAACAAGAATTATTGGCGCAACACATGGCATCTTCTTATATAGGTTATTCTCATTTCAATTACTGAATTCTCTTAAAGAATCCTCTACGGAGTACACTGAATACTTATAGAATGATATAGATATCATGATAAATGCGTTGTGAACCCGACCCATGAAAAAGCTCGATGTTGTTGCGGGCAAGCTATCCCCGGAACTCGACCCGACCCGTGAAAATAATACGCCCGCGCTTAGGTGGCCCGTGCCCGGGCTTAACTAAACCTAGTTAAATAATTTAGGCATTCAGCCACTATAAGCATCACTAAACGTCCCTAAAAACCCGGGTCGGGTTTGCGGGTTTAATTAGGTGAACCAGTGAACCCGTTTATTCGGGCGACCCCCACCACTTTTTCAACCCGACCCGCGAAAAAAACAACACTAATGAGAAGAATTTTATAGCTGTATGGATTGATCGAGTCCAATCCGGTACGGGTCTCGAGGGTTGGAGGTTCAGTGGATTTGTGGAAAGAATGATACGGATGGCTTCCCCGGCAGCGCTTTTTTCACAACGTACAGAACCATGAGCTGCCAATTCCCAAATGGGTGTTGCCTGCACTGGAGATGTTGGTCCCGTTGAGCCAGTAGAGCTCAGGGAGATGTTGTCCCGAGACTCAACAGAGCTCTGCTGCTGGACCCTCTCGGGAATGGTTGTTCCTTGGTCACTGCTATCGTTCTTTTCTGCGTCCAGATGTCAGTTATGACCCGTTATCAATAGGATGATGGGAGTTTCTGTTGCACCTGTGGCAGAACTTGAACCACTGCCGCCTCTACTGTCCACTGGGTCGGTCTCTGATTCCTCGATCTTACGAGTTCGAGTTGTTCGGGTGCTCATGATGGAAGTGTAGCGTCGGATAGTTTGCAAAGCTGGGATGACCTCTGAGGAGAAAAGGGAAGATGGAGCGATAGAAGCAAAGTGGGAGGAGGGCTGGCTTTATATGCCTTCGGACCTACGCTGCCTCTCCCCCCCCCACAAGACAAATTGGGAGCAACCGCAAATAGGCCGCACCATGTATGGGATTTGTTGGCTAATGAAATAGGGACTGGTTTACGGATCGTCTTCCACGCTTCCTGTTGATGTGCATCTAGAAATGGGGTTTACAAGAATAACCAACTTTCATTTATCGAACTGTTCTGTACGGAAAACGCAAAAGTACAGACAATCAAACGCGATTCGTACGATTCGAGCGATGTTTACAAAATTTGACCAGCTTCCATCACTGATTGAGCTACGGTATAAAATCAGCCAAGGCGGATCTTGCGCCTGATAGAAGGCGAACTCATCGAGATTCAGCATTAAAGCGGCGTTATCATCAGATACAATTTACCGACAGAGAAACGTGCAGCAGAAAGATAGAATATCTGTCCCAGTCCACCTCGCGAGAACGTCAACTCGGAGCTAACATCTCGCCAGACAAAACAGCAGAGGGCATCCCAGATTGACCATTAACATCAAACTTTCCATTATACAAGCATAAAACCGAGACGCAAGAATGCATCGGGTCGGCCAGACTTCCGCGGTGGATCAAGCGTTCTGAGCCTGGGAACTCTCCGCAAGATCCTCGAAAGAGTCAGTGGGGTTGGCAACTGCGAGTGCCCTGACATAATTCTCCGGTTTTCCCCTTTCATTGCAGACTTTAGCAACCCAGCTGTCCGCATCAGCCAATGCGTCGGTAGGTGACGGCTTGCGTTCACCCCAAGCATACTGTGCTGCATCAACAACCGGCGTGCCTGACTGCTCCATGTTTTCTTTGCTAGCTTTAGGTGTTCTCATTTCGGAACATTCTTTCATCGCAGGATCGAAACCAACGTTCTCGTTATCCATAAATATGGGATCACATTCCATCCAAGTGGGTGGTATGTCTGACATATATTTATCCATAAGCACGGGCGATTCTGATTCGGGGTTGCGTGAGAAGGATATCTCCTGCCCTTGCGGCTTCAGCTTAGAAGTATTATTCAACACAGTCTCTGAACACATGTCAGCATATGCTCCCAGTTTCCAGTTGAGATATCAATTACCTCCATCTTGCTCAGGGCTGGCACACCCACCTGCAGTGTCTTCCGAGGGATTGGATTTGGAGGTGGTGGAATCCGCCCTGGCTTCGCGAAGAGCTTCTACGAGTTCTTTCGCATCGGAATGCTGATACCCATCTCCTGTTGTCACGCTCTGCTGGGGACTTTCATCGATAGGGGTACATGGAGGCGTTTGGGCCAGTGGGGGAGTGACAGGGGACTTTCCATTGAGCTTCATTGCTTTAGGCATTGTGGTAGTTGATGGATAAAGAAGGCTTGGAAACTGGGTCTGGGGAGCTGGCTTGGTGAGGTCTGTGAGTGTCTTGAATGTCTGTTCATTGCCTCAGAATTTCGGGGGGAATCGTGCCTCCTTATAAGCCATTCTGCCAACATTCCCGGCACCTATTCTTTCGTCGTTTCCCTTGTAAATACTACGATGCATGAGATTGTGCCGCAGGATACATGGTCTCGACCCCGTCGACGTGATTTTGTCGATCTGAGAACTAGCCGTGTCGAACCGTGAGCGCATAACTAGACGTAAATATGTTGTTCATCCCGACCTAGAACCATGCGAGGCACATCTCGCCATACGCCACAGAGGTTGCCTTGATACAGTGATGCTATCAGCCGTTGATGGATGGACGATTATCGCTTCCGTTTGGGGGTACGATTGGCAGACAGCTCAGGAAAAAGAAAATTGGATGCTAAGTTTGTTGCCCATGAACCCCAGTGTAACTGGAGCAATCAATTTAGAGGAGTTGCTGGATTGAGATTGAAGACAATTGGGGGAGAGAATGTCTTCTAGCTTGCAGTAGCAAAAGTGCAAGATTAAAACAAAATAAAATGCAGGAACAAGTCATATGGAGATAAGTGGCTTGGCACGTGGTGGTCACTAGCTGGTGGTCAAAGGGAGGTGAGCTTTGATTTAGTCTGACTACCCCTGTCGGATGGATTTTGCTGTACCGTACCAAATACATTCATCTTTATGGCCCCTAGGGTAACTGAACTAATTTTTTTTTTCAAATATAGCACTGATGCAACTTAAATTTTAATGTGATGTCCTTCAGGACTTAGCTTCTTGCCGAAACTTTCCGACCGATTTGACCCCATTTGGCTTGAGCGGGGGCCTGATGATGTAAACAACTCTACCCCGCCACCAAACCAAGAAAAAAAAGCGTCACCCAACGAGCGTGTTGCTTGGTAGGCAGCAAGACCTCGACCATCGTCAAAAGAAAATGATGAATGGCTATAACCGAAAACAGTGAGCTGTATTTTAATACTTTTTTACCGGCAGCATCCTCTGTGTCACTCACAACGTGCGTTCTCCAGCCTCGTTGTCTACCTAACTTTCAATTTTGGGCATCTATGAACGATAATATGAATCCCAGGACTATCCTTCGCAATTGCCATAATTCCTATCTATTCATGACCTTCCCACGACCTTCCTTATTCCAGTGAGAAAATACTTTAAATCTATCCATAAATTTCGACGGTATGTGCATCTCTGAAACGTTCTATGTGAGACCTATGAGACCTAACACGGGATAGATCCTTAGAACGGAAAACTTGGAACACAACATGTCAACAACCTCGGATGTGGGTTTGAATTGTCTATCTATCTAGGCTCCTAACCTCTGAAGCTAATAGTTATTCTCTTACAGCGCGGCAAACTTGCACTGAGCGGACAAGAAGAATACTTGCCTAGTCATCTATTTCCCAAGGCGGAGGAGGAAACTTGGGTAACAGGTAGAGGCTCTTTGATCATAGTATTCGATCCCGCAGCACCCGAGAATACAACCCCAGCTTGGAAATGGACAGAAGAGGGCATATATGGCACTGGGCGCGTCCCAAAAGGATGTAGGGTCAAGGTTCTCCATGGCTGGGTAAGGATGTCCACTTCGGCACCAGACTGAACGTGTCATTCATTTGAAGTCCCGCCTCTTGGCCTACCCACAAGGTGACGGAAATGTCTTGAGCAGTGTCCTCAGGGATTATAGTAGTAAGGCAGTCTGTCGTTGACTCGCCTAATCGTCTTTCTATTTTCCATTGACGACTACTGCGAACAGCCTTGGAGAGTAAGTCGCCCAGGAGTAGGATTTGATCGACTGGAGCCTTTGAATACATATATTGAATTTCTGCATACATGTTAGCATATGTTTTATCTATAGTACCAAGTCATTTTCTTACGTCTCCCGTTGCTGGTTAGCTCGTGACGTGCATCTTCTTCAACTCGCATCCTTTTCTTTGGGTGTATCACCGCAGAGTGTGTTTGCTCAGATTGCTGGGAGGATGCAAGACCTTCTTGATGCCTGCGTGTTGTAAGCCGTAGCCCAATATGTGCTTCTCCCGTATTAGATTCAGATCCGATGATATATGGAAAGAAGGGGACGAACAGGCTACGAAAGATTTGAATAGCTCATCGTCATCCGGATCCACGTCGCTTAATACGGCCTTATTTATATCATCGCGGCATAAGAGCAGTGACAATTGTTGGCGATCCACAAAGTCTCCTATGTTTTCGACAAGGAAATCGAATACTCGAGAAGGCAGTTCAATGACCTCTCTAACGGTGTAAGATAGTCCGCAGAGTTTTAATGATGTGCAGTCTAAGTTGCGCAAACGCATTTGCCTATCCTTTCCACGTGTAGAGGACTCAAACAAAAATCTAATAAAATGTTTGACTCTTGTGGCTTGCTGATTCGGAAGAGGTTTATTGCTCGGATGTTCTCGCAGTAGGCTCGCGGTGGATAGGAGAACCGTTTGGACTTCAAGCTGCGTTTGCAGACGTGATACGACATCGAGTAGGTTTGGGAAAGCGATTTTGGATCCATCAAGGTTCCAGGCGTCTTGAATAATCTCCTCGCCATTCAGTACAAGGGTCTGTAACATGGCAGTGGACATTTTGGAAGGATGGAGGAGATTGTTTGAGGCTCCTTACAGAGGACAAACAAAATGGAGTACTTGGGGGGTCGAGGCAAGTTAAAACTACTTTGTGCGATAGTGAGATCCTGCTTCGCGGGGGCCTTCAACCTTTCGAAAACCCTTGAGAATTTCCAAGCCTTCAATACACACAAAACAGTTGGCTTGTTTAGGAAATCGGTTGTTTGCAATAAGCGCTCAGGCAATTCTGAAGAGCAACAATCCAGTTTAGGCCCCTCGTGTCACATATTCAGATCAAGGGCGCTCCTCCATGGCGTATGTTTGTTGAAAATATTTTTTCCTCATTCTCTTCGGCTTTGTCCAGAAAAGCTGTTTTAACAAATACTAGCCCAAGAACTTGAAGAGCGATAGAATAAATAAATTCCGTACGAACAAAGCGTCGGGGAACCGAGTTATTCCTACCATGCAGGGATATCAGCGGCATTGCTGCAGCTCGACAGATTCTAACTTGTGTACTCTTCAAGACTTGTTCTTGTTCACGAGCCGTAGTCCCACATCCCTTCTCACGACCAGATGCGAGACACCTAGAGCCACCGTGGCCATTTCTTAAAAATGGGAGATATTGAAACGAGTCATATGATACAGGAAAATCGAACCCTCCAGCTTCCCACCTCTATAAACACACCAGCCAATCCCTAAAGTGTTTGGTCAGCTTAAAGGGTTCCTACCAACCTACTTACTAACTTGATTTTAAGCATTGATGGGGGAGCTCGCCTTCTCGCTTCTCGTCAACAGTTAGTTGTCTTGACTCGCGTCTACTGACGGGTGACGGGCAAACGTTGATCCGTGTTATTTTGGGCAAGATTGGCATTATTTCGCTTCTCCCCACCACTCCAGGATTATCGCCTATCCTATGCCACTAAATTCCTCGTACCCATGTTGCTTTTGATATAATTCATGTATCCCTCTCTAATGGCTGATAAGGATTACAAGGCTCTCTACGTTAGAGCGGAAGAGGTAAGAAAACAGGCTGAGGCGCGAGAAAGATCACGTGATCCTTCTTGACAGTTGATACTGGTTAGATTAAACTTTCGTAGATTTATGAAATTCTGCTGGTTACCATCCTCCTTCCTTCCCTTGGTCTTTGACCATAGCAGAGACCGTCAAAGGATACTGGAAGAATCATCTATGCTGTCTCTTAGTAGTCCTTTCCGCTGGCACATATGGTCGTCGCTCTGGGGTTTTATCTCTAAATTCATTAGGAGCATTTATCTACCCCAATTCCGCGGCGCGACAGCAACACCAACTCTCAACGACGATGCTGAACTTGGACGTACAAAAGCACAATTCCAGCATGCCAGTGAGCTAATAATGTTACAACTGCCGCCTACTGACTTGATTATATAGAATGCCAAATCACCCGAAGAGTCAAACTATGTCGCTGCTGCCCGCCCAACCGTCGAACAGTCTGGCAGTGAGATAATCTTGCACGTGAAGCAGCCACCGAAATGTATATCGATTGGGTTTTCCGGAATCATCTGTGAAATCAACGAAGATACCATTGTGAAACACCCGAAGGTCATTCCGAATAATGATCCATACAATCAGATGTACCGCGATATGATCATTAACGAACGACTGGTCTACGAGCGCCTGGGGAGTCATAAAGGGATTATTTCATACTTGGGCGTCCACGACGAAGTAACCGGTGCGATAAGGTTGGCATATGCAAAGGAAGGAGATCTGGAATGCTATATTCAAAGCCATGACAAGCCATCAGAAACAATTCGCGCCACCTGGATTCAATTGCTAGTGGAGACTTTCTGGTATATCTACTCTCAAAAGGTTCTCCATCAAGATGTCAAGCCCAATAATATACTTGTTGAGAATGGCACTTTGAAGGTTGTTGATTTTGCCAACGCCACAATGCATGCATTGGATGCTGATATGGAAGAGGTCTGCGTGAAAGATCCATTGTCACGAGTTGATATACTTGGTCTTGGGTGTATTATTTATTCTATTGCAGCATGGCGGGTCTTCTACTATGATTATTTTGAACATGATTGCTGGCCCGAGCCAGAGAATCTCCCTGCAACAAGCGGCCTACTTTACGATGATATCATCAACAAATGCTGGATAGATAGCTATGGCACTCTAAAATCGCTGTATGAAGACTGCAATGCTTTTTCTGGCATGAAGTGGTGAGAGGGGAGGACGAATCAATGTTGCCCAACAGTTGTTGAGGATTTGCTGGCTGCAGGTTGTTTACATCATGTAGAAATAAGGTGCTTCCGATGTTATACTATTATCTTCTCAGTGGGCCCAGCTCTTACCTCAAGAATTCATTTTAGCTTTGCCCATGCTCACAATCACCGAACAAAACGTCTTCTACTATCATTCGAATTCATAAATGTTGCCAGAAAGTTTCTATGCTACAAGGCTATATCCCGCAAGACACCATAACAGATCACTAATACACTTCCTGAACTATTATCCTTCTGATTTTAGGTGCCTGCCCAGCTCAACTTCTCACTCCTCTCAGTTGAATTGCCACGAGTCTAATTCTTAATAAATAAAACCTAACACTCAAGATAGACTTACGAACTAGGCACCCACAGTAACGCCTTGGGGTTGAGCAACGGATGCGGAGCTCGAGCCTCCAGCTCCTGTTCCGTCACCATCCTTTGGTCCAGCAGGAGGCTTTTTGTTGCGACAATTAGGGCAGACGTTCCGTTTTGCGTAACCACGGCTTGAAGCCTTGGTAGTTGGTTCTGGATTTGGACATGGTGAACCTCTCTCGGTTGCGGGATCACACCAGTGGAGAATGGTGTTTCCTTCGCGCGCGGTGTGTCCACAGCTCCAAGTGTATGTATTTGGCGTCTCTTTCATGCACATTTTCGCCGAGTTTTATGCGGTCTATTGACGCGTGAGTAGTTATAACAATATGCATGTGCATCTAGAGATATACCGTGTGTGAGAGCCTGAATGGATATGAGTTTCCATACGAGAGAATGGATACAATTGAAGATGTGACGAGAATCGACCCGTACAGCCGCCTTCGGAGGAATATCGTACAGTTGAAATTTGATTATTTTTTATTGTACAAGCTTTTAAAAGGATTGGGAATAAGAATAGTTAGTGCCTTCTCCCTCTATGTTTGTGGTTTGATAGAAGTGTAAAAGAGGTATGAACAGCTTCAATTTTCAAAAAGAGATTCTTATGTTCAGTAGAAGTGGTGTCAATCTGCCTCCGGAGTTTCTAATTTTCCGGACACACTATCTATTTCTCATCTAAGACTGCAGCTCCCCTTGGGTTGGAGATTCAGTGGATTTCTGAAAAGAATGATATGGATGCGATGAGAATTTCGGGATGGATTGGTGGGCGATAAATGCCTGGTTTCCCACGAGCGGAAGTGTTAGGCTGTGTACCGGGTCAATATTTCTCCGGTGGTTAAAGAGAGTTGTCGTGCCTCTTCCCAAACACATCTTCTTTTGCTACTACAGACTATAAGTTCTTGAAGTTTCTTTTAGTGAGGCAAACAGAAGGGAAATGACAGGACAGAGAAGAGAGATTGAAGGGGTGATGGTGATATTCAACACGGCGGGTTGGGTGGCGTACATTAATCCTAAATGGGAATAGCCAGCCTTCCTCCAAAAACGATTTCAATCCCCCTATTTTGTTCCCGCTTATTACCGTTCCGTCGCGATCGAATAGGTCTGCATCACAGCTAAGCCGGGTCAACCCTTTGACCACAATCCTATATATCAGCGTCTGTTCCTAGCGAGCTATCTTCTCTCGCAAGTATGATACATAATAACTTCCTAACAATTCTGACATAAATTAGCATACCAATTTAACTCCCTTGCAACTCCTGATTAACCTCGCACCTACCCAACGGTCTTTTATGTCGTCAAAATGGCGGGGCTTTCACAAGAAGATCGCAACATTATCAAGAACATCCTCTAGCCAACTTAGTCGATCCTTTACGAGACGCGCTTCAGGAAGCCGAAAGACAATATGAGTCTGATGGCGCTGATGAGAGCCAGGACCAGCTCTATCGAAATGCGATTTCAAAACTCCTCTCTGCTTTACAGGGAGAGGAAGCGGCACTCAATATGCGCTCACGAGCAAGCGATGGAAATGTGGCTTCTGATATAGCAAATCTGTTTACGAGCCTTCAGCGGGCCAACTTCGGCTACAACCACTACAGCCGGCTGGTACATCTGGTCATCCAAAGGTTTCCCCCCACTGAATCCCAGAACGTCGAAACCTGGAACTTCAACGTCTGGAACGCCGTCTTTGTTCTTATTGACACCGTCTCGCGAGGCACTCCCCCTCCTCCTCCTCATCCTACATCATCGATCCAACAGACGCCCTGGCTGCGCAACACTAGCAGTTTCGTCAATTCTACAGAATATCGAAAGCACGTTGACATTGTGCTGAAGGAGGAACTTGGGGAGATACACGTCGACATCCCTAGATTCTTTGACGCGTACTTTGGAGACATTCCACAACTCACTGCAGTTTCACAAGCGGTGTTGGAGGAGTGCGAGAAGGGAGACAGCCCCCTTTACCGTGAAGACGAGGGCTGGAAGGACTGGCCTGAACTTGCGGCAGAAAGAGACGTTCTGAAATGGCTGGCTAACATCATCACTGAGCTCGTACGATTAGCTGAAGCACAAGAGCCGTCCTGAAGATCGACCGCAGACCTCTCGCACAGCCAAGCCAGCCACTACAAGGGTCTGTCGCGGAGAGAAAGCTTGATGTCGGCTTTGTCGATGATCTGACGGCCACAGAGGACTCCAGATGTCACTGGTCGCAGATCCTGGTGCCAGGGGAGCTGAAAAACGACCCGAAATACGACCGGAAATCCGGTGCATGGTTTGACCTTGGCAGGTATGCCCGAGAGGTCCTTGCCGCGCAGGACACCCGTCGTTTCGTGCTCGGGTTCACCCTCTGCGGGCCGTTCCTACGACTGTGGAACTTTGACCGTCTGGGCGGGATCGCGTCGGAGGAATTCAATATCAACCAGGACGGCCTTCGATTTGTGTCTGTTATCCTTGGATTCCTCTTGATGAGCCGCAAACAACTTGGGTTTGATCCTACCATCGTCGCGACCGGGACCGAACGGTATATCGAAATTGAGAAGAATGGTACGAGGGAACGGCTGACCACCGACGAGATTGTTGGACGAGCACGCTGTGTTGCCGGGCGAGCCACAACGTGCTGGAAGGTATACTGTGAGACAGACAAATCACGGACGCCGCTGGTTGTCAAGGACTCCTGGCAGTATCCGGAACGCACTGAGGAAGGAGAGTTGCTGCGAGAGGCGATGGCGAAGGGGGTCAAGAATGTTGCGAGGTATTATCACCACGAGACTGTTCGCATTGACGACAAGGATGATGATGTCTTGGCTATCCGAAAGGGCCTCAGTATTCCGATTTCGAAAGATGAGAAGGGTGGTTTTAAGGCGACAGTGCGGCGTAGTAGGTCTCAAATGGGACAAAAGCACCAGGGCAGCAGCACCGGCCAGAAACGATCCTCTGACTGCGTGGACATGGCATTTCCTCCTCCCCCAAGTAGACGTACCCAGTCAAGTTCTCCGTCCAAATCTGCCGACGGCTCTACCCGACGCAATCGAGTTCACCGCCGCATCGTTATCCGGGATTGTGGGAAACCAATCTATGAGAGTAGCTCGAAGTCTACACTTCTCACTGGGCTGGCCGGCTGTATTGACGGATACATGTCGCTCCACGATGAGGCTGGCCTCATCCAATGTGACGTTTCCCCTCGGAACCTGATGGTGAACGAGGACAAGGACAACTCTTCATGGCCTGCCTTTCTGATCGACCTTGACCTGGCCATCAAGACGCAACGGGACGGGTCTTCCGGCGCCCGGGGCAAAACGGGCACCAGGGCGTTCATGGCCATTGGTGTCTTGTACGGTGAAAAGCATTGTTTCATGCATGATCTGGAGTCGTTCTTCTGGGTTCTGTTCTGGATATGCATTCACTATGAAGGCCCAGGGAAAGGGAGCACTGTAGAACGGTTTGAGAAATGGAATTATATGAGTACTGAAGAGCTGGCGGCTGCGAAGCAAGGAGTGATAAGTGAGGAGGAAGATTTTCTTCGGATTGCAGAAGACTATTTTACTCCGTATTATCGATCATTGATCCCTTGCGTCAACCGGTTGCGGCGCCTTGTCTTTCCAGACGGCGGACGGTGGAAGAAACCAAATTTCAACCTACCCCTGAACATGATTGAAACGCTTCAAGATGCACAATATAACTCAGATGCAGTAAATTAATACAAATTTAGTGTTTTACGGGTTACGTTCCATCGTTTCTAGATGATTTTCTTCGATAGCTTGAATTGCCTTGTCTTTGGATATAGCATTCTTTGACTGATATATGGATTGAGTCTGGAGGAAACCCATACGAGGCGTACTGTTTCGTTATGAAAACGCAGAATTTTTTGTTGGAGTGCCACAAGGCCCAAAAAGGTTGTATTATCCAATTATTCAGGTGCTTAGTAGCGTAGACCAGAGGGTTTGAGGCATGTAAAGCCAGCCCTCTTCTCACTTTGCTTCCATCGCTCCATCTTCCTTTTTCTCCTCACAAAGGCCACCCAGCTTTGCAGACCATCCGACGCCAGACTTCCATCATGAGTACCCGGACAACTCGAACTCGTAAGGTCGTGGAATCAGAGGCCGGCCTAGTGGACAGTAGAGGCGGAAACTATTCCTGCAACGTAGAAGAGCCATGAAAGGCCATATTCTGGGCATTCAGGTGGCTTCATTTCTGGAACTTTCAACTTATGTTTTCTAGATCGTTGAAATTTGTGGTCTTTTATATATTTAATTTCTTGCTAGACTCCTTCCTGACAGTCACACCTTTTTGGCAGTAGCTCCTAAGTCATTAGCAGGGTGCTCCTCTTTTCTAATAATTAAGACTATTCTATAAGGAGTGAAAATGTAAGTAAATTTGTTCTAAAACTAGGTATATGGGCACGTGTCATAAACCATTACCCTCTGCTGAAGGGCAAATGGAGATAATGCAAAAAGATCTAAAAGTCGACGGAAATCCATACACTTAAGCCCATTGGGCATCATTACGTGCTGTAAAGCTGCCTGCACTCTGTAGAAGGCTACAAATAATCGGTGACAAACTCCCTGATAAATTTCTGGGAAACAGAGGCGGGATCAATTTGCTGCCAGTTCTCTTCAGCTTGCTGGGGGGTTAGCTTAGTCGCAGCCGCTCGGCAGATTCTATCATCGATAATCTGCCTTGTGGGCCGGACGGTGATGGTTTCTCCCAGCAAAATCTGTTTCGCCATGGCGTCAAATTCACGATAAAGACATATCACATCAGGATGAACATTAACAACGTAGTTAATAACAGCATCGAGCTTCGAGAGAGGGTATTTACTGTGATTTTTGCTGTACAGAATGGGTGAGTCCGGTATGCGTCAACACAGGTGATATAAGCAACTCACATGACCCCAGCTAGGGTAACTATTCCCACAGGCAGGCAAGAAGAGCCCCAAGACCCAATACGCCTGCCATTCGCCAACATCGACTACCCTGTCTTTTTTGCTCATGGAATTGTCTCCGAAGTGCCTGCTTCATCTGGTCATCCATCAAGTCCCACTTGTCTGGATATGAGCGCTTCAGCAGGTAATCAGCAGAGAGGGTTGAAGCACGATGCTGGTCATGGTTCTCCAGTCTTCTGGAATGTATTCCACTCCGCCTTTTCTGCGTGAGGGACTCGAAGGAAAGCTATAATATGGCATGTGAGATGCGGAGCCGTAATTTCTGGTCTGAACTTCGGGTTAACAGTGTATTAGCATAGCGAAAGACGTGACAAAACCTCTCCTCAGCTGAGGAATCTGTCAAAATAGAAAGGTTGAGGGCATCCTCAGGCCAAAAACCGTTCTCCTGCCATATGCAGGAGCCCTGGTAGTCAGCCAAGCCATCTCTGATAAGCCCTTCACCGACTTCTAGGGCCCGTTGAAGATCTGGATCAGAAAGCCCGCAAAGAGCATTCCTTGCTAGAGATGAACTAGTCATTACACCCGATTCCTCAAGTCTGGCAGACCCTGGCTGCTTGCCCACCTGGCTACGCTTTGTCAAAGAGTTTTTCATATCGGTATGTGTCACCTTGGTGATCTTAGATTGCTTTGATCCCAACCTACAACGATTATTCTTCTTTGGGGTCTGTGTAGCAGGCGAAGGAGAATCAGATGGTGGTGTAGAAAGGCCCATAACTAGTTCACTATTGCTCACTGGTTGTAGATTTTCATTTGAAGAAACTTCCAGTGGAGCTGGGGGAAAGTCAGTATCTCCATCTGGAGGTGCTTGTTCTCCAGAGGGGCTCCCTGGTCCCGCAACAATAGGATTGGCGTGGGATACAAATAGGGTACTTTCGGCTTCTGGTACAGACATATTTGTATCGATCAAAATAGAAGGACTGTGATTTGACTGTAGAGCATTTCCGGCTTCCGGTATGCTCAATAAAGCAGGATTTATCGTGTCAACAGGCGGTTCATTCAACGAGGCGACGAACCAGGGAAAATAGTCATTGAGGCTTGTGGCCAAAGGCAGTTGCATTGGCAACTCTTGATCAAAGCGGACGTTTGTTCGAGAACCCGAACCATCGTGGCTCTGAAATACAAACGAGGGAGGATTTGGTTCGCTGGCTTTTACTCTGTCCAAAAGTTCTGCAGCCCCTGCTGTTCCGAGTTGTTCAAGAAGCCGTAGTGTATCGCGTACGCGTGAGATGACCTGTTCGTCAGTCATGTCTACCATGTCAGAGGTTGATGACTCACTTCTGGATGTGTTGCTACCATGTCGGATTTCTCCGCATTATCTCTATCCTATACAATGCACATAAGTGGTGTGACCTGCAATGAAAAATTGTTCAACTCACCTGAAATGTAATCAACAGAATGCCCATGCTGTATGGAATCACAAAAGACCCTTTGCAAGAAACAAAAAGAACTACAAAAAGCAAAAGCCCACAAAGTACTATGTTTGAACAGATGTGAAGAGCGGGGGATCACAAGATGGCAGAGCACACGAGATCACAGAGCACAGAGTGAAAGAAGGGCGTTTACAATCCACCACAGCCAAAGAAACTTGTGGAATTCCAGCGAAGGATGCTGGCGTTGTGCGAGCTGTTTTTGGATTCGTCCTCTTGGCGAAGGGCCTCCTTGGATATTTCCAACGAGCATCACTTTTTGGCCCCGTGACCGAAACCTGGCCACCCTACTCCCATACCCCAAAGGCACATGGGTCACCTAGGACACTCTATGAGCCCGGCCTGGATCTATTTTGAGACAGATTCAGATAGTATTACTTATCCTGTGCCATTAACCTCTATTTACCACTAAAAGAAAGGGGAGCTGAGTCTCCGAATTAGGCTATGCTGCTCTTTTCTTGCTACCAGTATTGCGGAAAGATGCTATGCTGACAGGAAAAAGGAACGACTGCTAAAAGGGGTGACTAGCAAAGAATGTAAGTATGTAAAAAGACCAAAAATGTAGAAGTGAAGAAATTCAGAAATTCAGAAGTCCAATGTTCCAGACGCGAAGCCGCCTGGGTACCCAAATAGCCGCTGTGGACACACCAATTGCAGTGACAACCAGCTTTAGCAGGCCATCACGGCTAGGTTGACCTTGCACCCGCATATGGCAGACGGCTGATGGGGAGAAGTTGGTATAGATGGAACCACGGTTTCAAGGAACATGGTCGTGGTTATATTCTGCTCCTAGGCCTGAGAGGGGAAATACTTTTGGGCTTGCAGTCGTCTTGCGCACTCCATTTAAGCCGTATAAATACCATGCGCTTTGCTTGCAGGAGAGCAAAGCATTCTCGCGGATACCCTTCAGTTTGGACGTATATCTCCGTATACCTGCATTCTCCTGATCTTCCGTTCTCTCTTGATAGTCAATATGGAATGGCCGCAGCTGACACTTGAAGACAATCAGCCGCATCCGCTCCAGGGGCCGGTTGAACTCACTTCCTCGCCAGATTCTACAGCAAACTGGATGTCACACCAGAGTCGAAAACGATTACCGCCACACCAGGGCATTGTTCAGAGAAGACGTCGGCGGAGACAATGTCTCTTCCACAAAATTGTTGAATACACTGATGGGAACGAGGCACAGGTTTATATTCTAATTGACATTCACGGCCAATACTTTATCTTGAACACTGATTCAGGTGGTACATGGCCACCCTCAGAAGAACAGATTGTATGAGCTCCAATTTTAGTCTGGAAGCTCCACTCACAACTGACAATGAGCAGGAGAAGCACTATCCTCATACAGTTCGCAAGACATATAAAGATTATCAAATTTGTGCGCGCCGTGCCTTTCCGCGGTTATAATGACACTTACTATATTTATCTGGTGATGGAAAATGGCTATTTGAATTGCCAAGTTTGTACTGATTGTCTTCATAAAATAAGAAGTTAGACCTCTTTGCAGTGACAATCATCGAGGGTGGTTTTCAAAAGTGTACTTCTGTCGAACGTCATGTGGATGTTTCTGCTTTGGCACGCTCGGGCCACGATTTGCGATCCGAACTTTTCGGAACCTTGAAAACTTTTCCAATATTTTAGGCTCCGCACAAAATTTCCATAGGTGGTACATGCCTCCAATGGTTTTAAGGCTCCAGCTCATAGATCATGTGAGGTAGAGAACAGGATATATGCAGAATGATGCCACGTGAAGTTGGTTTCAGGTACCTTTGAACTTGAATTTTTTTTTGGCTTTTTGGATTTTTGACTTTCTTTTCTTCCTACATTTTTATCATACAAGTGAAAGGAATAATCTACTCGTTTTTGATTTTACATTGTCAGTGCCATACTATATCTGAAGACGGTCTCTCTCCGTCCATGTTTCTTTTTAGTTGATGTTTGTCGAGGCCATGGTTTTTTTCCGTGGTAGAATGAAGTCCGAAATTGAGTCATCAGGAAGCTGATGCTCCTGGCGTCTCGAGTCGATTTCCTATGTTTAAAACACACCTCCCATCCCAATCCCATCTAGTTTTCTTCCGTCTCCCTCACTCCTCTCCCCCCCCCTCCCCCTCCCCCAATTTCCTCTCCCCTTACTGCTTTCATTACCATTGACCGGCTTGAGGCCATGGATACCGTCACTATATATTCTATCGTCGCAGGCGGTATTCTTGTAACTCTCACTCTAATCCGCGTAATATGTTCCCTTAAGAGCCGGCTCAACACCATTTCTATGCTGATTTCGAAGCATCTCGCCTATCCATATCTTATTAAACGTCACCGGCTTTTTGGCCCGTGGACACGTGCCAATGTTCTTCTATATATCGTGTATGGAGTCGTCACCATTTTCTTCATCGCGTTTCGGGTTCCATCAGCAAGCGAGGCGGCCCGACGAGCTGGAGCACTATCGCTTGTCAATATGGGGGTTACCTTTATCGCCACCCATTTGAGCTTCCTCGCAGATGGCCTTGGTATTTCTTTAAAGATTTGCCGGCGGATTCATCGCGCTGCAGGGTGGACCGCGGGCGTACTCTTAACTCTCCACATCATCCTCCATACCCCGGTTCAACGGGCCGAACTCTCTTTTCGCAATCACAGCAATCTCTTTGGCTTTATTGTACGGAGGTGTTACCCACTATTGGGAATCGTTGGCTGATAGTTCACAGGGTGCAGCGTCGTTGATACTCCTTTCATTGTTTTCCCTCCCGTTCTTTCGCCGACTTGCGTATGAGATATTTCTCCGGGCCCATCAGAGCCTCGCAGCGGTCTCTGTCTATGCTACTTGGCGCCATCTGCCATCTGATTCTATTTTCCCAAGGATCTATATCTATGTACCGCTGGGTCTTCTGTCGCTGACAACTCTTCTACAGTTCTTGATTTTCCTATATCGTAATCGGATTTTTTCATCGCAGCTCTCTCCCCGAGCGTTGGTTACGTGCGAGAAAGATGACCCCTCTGATAAAGATGCCCAAGTTGAAGGGAAGCCCATTAAAATTCACGTGACGCTCCCACGGCCGCTCCAAGTGATGGAGCGCGATCAGAAGTAAGAAAGCCCATCTCCGTCCCCTGGAGGGAAGAGAGATGGATGGCAGGGGAGAAAGGATCCATTTTGAGCCCCCGGCACCAAAAAGGGTGTCGAAAAAAGAAGGTGGCCCTCCTGCTCAGGAAGTGCGGGTGAAGGTGAGAGAAAACGCCGGCGGAGGTCCGCGTTCGGAAGATTGGCTGTGATTCGACGCGTGGATGTTGGTGAGGAGGTGCGTGGCGGCATGGGTTGGCAAGTAAACGGCCGAAAATGGCGTCAAAACTGGCTTCTTTCAGCCGTTCACTCGCCATGACATCGTTTCTTAGAGTAAATTACTAATAATATTATAGAATTAATATAGAAACTTTTAAATATAATTAAATAAAATACATTGTAGCACACGAGCTGCAGTGTGCTAAATTATTGCGGAGCTAGTCCCAATTAGAAAGGCAGCTGTAAATAACACTCATAAACATCACCTCCAACCTCACATCTATGATATGAAGCTCTACATGTTGCAGAAAGATGGCATTGTTAGCTCATGTTGCAAAATTTGTGGCTGTTGCAGCTATGATTGCAGCTGCAGATCTGATTCAGAGTTTTGTATCTGTTCAAATTTTTGATGAAGCTGCTCCACTTCTTCATTGCAGATAAGAAGATCAGACACGGCTGCACACTCAGAGAAATTATTTATATCATCAAAGTTAATCTCTTTATTCAGCTGAGCATTTTCAATATATTCAATTATTAACTGATTTGTAACATTTCTATTGACTGATAATGCCTCTAAAGCCTCCTGATTAATATTGCTGTTAGCATAACCAGGATGGTTAACTTAAAGAAAAGCTAGCCATTGTTTAACAACAGCCTTTCAGACAGTGAAATTATGACAGAATTGATGAAAGAAATGAGAATTAGCAGATATATTTGAAAGCTGCAAAACAATGATATCAAAATCTTTAAACAGCAATGAAAGACTATTGTAAACACAGTCAGTATCTTGAAAAAAGTTGACAATATGACTTTTATACTTGTATTGCTGGCTGTGAATCTGATGAATTTCCACAAACACATGAACTTGAGCAATAAGCATTTCCTCAACTTGATTTATAAAAGGAAGATTGAGAATTTAATCAGAGTTCAGATTGTTATCTGCAGAAAAGAAAAACAATTCATTTATTTATTGATTTTTATCAACTATAATACAATGAATGCAGATGTTGTTTTTCAATTTCATATTAAATTATTAATATTGACAGTGACTGCAGGTTTTCATAACCTTATCTTTTAAAGCTTTATAAAAGTTTTGAATATATTGTCAGTCAGTTGATGTCAACACTGAGTTTTTAAAAAGAGTAGAGCTGTTAAACACTAAAGAGAGGTCTGAGTATGTGTAATGTGACGGCGCCGAGGCGGTTGCTACTCGGCAGCGGCACAGAGGAGGATGGTATATAATGGGAAGCCTTATGGGTGGGCTTGATTATCTCGCTTGAACCGCGAACTCGTAGAATACTATACAAATACTGAACTACCAGAGGTACTCGGCACACTAAGAATATTGTATGAGGACAGTGGTAACTCTGGTATCTTATTGTCAAAAGATAAAAGACGAATCGCTGGCTCCTGGAATAGAGAGCCAGCATCTAGCTATTCTATATAGACAACGGGCAGCCATCCTCCCCTCACTCTATAAGCGAGGGTAGCCGAAGCAACTCCGCAGTGGCGCTGCATTGATCTGCCAGAAGGAATCCACTGACCCCGTATAGAAACAGGATTCTCATATCTCATCAATCGGATCCTCTTCTATTGCATCCGAATGATGTCATAGGGTGGTTGGAAACCGGTTCGGACACCTGCGTGATGTCATGGGATAGATGGGATTATCCGAGGGGAAACGATGGGCCGTGTGGAGCCGTCACGGGGCCTTGGCACAACCAAGGGTGTGACATTAATATTAATTGATGAATCATTTATTAGACTCTCTGAATAATTGAAAGGTGTATGTCATTGAAAACTGAGTGGAATGAATGAGGAATTGAAAGAATTAATTGAGTGATACAATTGAATCTGTAATGATATTTGAAAGATGAAATCATCACTGAGCAGTAGAGATGAGATTGTAATGAATGAAAAGCATTCAGCTGTTTCATTGACATTCTGTAACTATTTTTGAACTCTGTATAAGAATGATAATGTGAGTATAACAGATGAAACCTCATCATAATGCTGAGCTACTCAATGACTTTGCTGAATTATACTCTGTTTTTTATAAACTGTTGCAAGTGAAGAAGGGTCTGATGTATGTACTTTATAATAATAAAAGTCCGATGGTTTCAGTGGTTAAAAAAAAGCTTATTGACAGCTCAGAGAAGATTTGATTGATTGTAAATATTAAGATAAAACTACTGAATATTGTTGTAGAAATGATGAGAAATGAAACTCTAATTTTCTACTTGCAGAATCACTTTTTTATAAAGAAGAAGATTCAATAAAGCCACTGTCATTTGAAATTTCAAATAATTTTAAAGTCAGAAATATTGAAATTACTAATGTTTGTAGCTGTTTTATAAATATTTTAGAGACAGTGTGAAAAGATTCTGAAAGAAGCTGAGCAGCACTGCTTGAGTGTTTTAAAGTTTTAAAACCAGCAATACAATCACAATAAGAGTTGCAGATTGTAATTATAATGATTGAAGAATGTTTAAATATAAATTTTTTTAAAAAGAAAGAATTGCAGTAAATGAAGTAGATCTTGCTCTTCATTACAAATTGTAAACAGCAGATGTATTGAATAAGATAAAAGTGTAAACAATTGAAAAGCTGAAAAAGATTTTAAACAGATCAGATATTGATGCACTGAGAAGAGTTGAAATACAAAATTGTAAAAAAGAGCTTTTTTAATATGATATAGAAATTTCAATGTCATAGTAAAGTTATTAATATAATATATTGAAAAAACTGTATGAATTCAGAGCAGCATTCATAAAACAAAGACATTTGCATTCAATCATTTAACTGTATAAACTGAGGAAAGTTGTATATAGATTTCAATGTAAGATGAAAGAAACCTTTATGAATTGTCTGCAGACTCTTTTTTAAAAGCTGTAAATCATGATTAGATTTAGCAAGCAGCAATAAAAAAGCTCAGATTGGCTATTTATACAGATGCAGTAAAAAGAGCCTTGAAATAGAATAGAATGAATGAAGCTGTAATGGCTTGTTTATCTTGCTCAGCCCCTTTCTATACGGGCCGTTGCAGCAACGCGGGCGGTCACGTGTCATCACGTGAGCGTAACTTCTCATTGACCAATCAGAGCGCAGGGATTCAGCCAATCAGTCCGCGAGAATGCTTTCCTAATCCGGATGACCGAAAGAGGAAATTTTCTGGCACGAAAAGCCTATATATATTGCTTCACTCGCTACGCTCGCTCCGCAAATCAGATAATTTATTAGACGGAGTAAAATGAAATTTCAAAAAATTATATAAAATTTTTAAAGAATTAAATATTGATTTATAATTGATTGATAGCTTTTATTCTTATTTGTTTGATATTGAATTAATTATTGATGAAAAAGAATGATAGCTGTCTATTTATCTATAATATTCAGTCAATTACTGATAGAATTGAAAGTGCTAGTTAAATAGCTAGTTATTTATCTCTTTATCTTTCAATCAATATAACTGCTCAACATTCAATTAATTGTTATAAAAATAAATATCATTGTCTAGTTATTTATATATCTGATAATATTGATTTATTAGATGATTATCTGACTGTTTATTGATCTATTTATCTATTCATCTGCTTGAATGAATGATATCTCTCAATGACATATATTGATGATAGCTAGCAATGATAGCTTATAGAGAAGAGAGATATATATAGTAGATTGATGAATTTTGCTTATATATTTTCTATTTTTATAATTCTTTGTTATACAAATTTTTTTTCTAAAAGAGAAATCAGTGTTCAGATCTTGTATTTAATTATTATTGTAATTTTAAAGTGCTTGAGTTGGGAGGGAGATTCTGCTGAGTGGCAGGTGGCTTCTATAACCACACTGCAATAAGAGGGTTAGGCATTACGGGTATTGTTTAGCCAGGCACGTGCCACCCAATCTAAATCCTCTCACTTAGCTGGATAATAATAGACAACAACGTTATCCTTCTACAGCAAGCATTTGGGATTTGAAACACGATTGATGTGGGAGGTTTTCACAAGTATACACGTCGGCTGCAATGTCATTATACTTAGATGCGGCATCAGTTCTATATAGAGACTCCGGCAGCGGTGGCTCGTTCAAATCCCGGGTCTACAAGTCAAAACTCAGATCACCTGCAAGGCAAGTCTACGCTTTGATAACTGAGACTGCAAAATGGGATATCCTTCTCAAAGAGGTCGTTGAGAATGCCAACTTTCTTCCGGTTGAACCAAAGGTCAGTCCGTTGCAAATTACTTACGGTAAATGAATAACGTGCACAGTTGAAACTAATTTCTATCACTGGGTTCCATAGCTCACCCCACTGCTCTCGATTCTCCTAGTCCACGACTTCCTGTTAACGAAAAAAGGCATTGTGGCTCCTTCAAACCACCCTTTGCGTTTGGCAATCGAAAGACATAAATCTCGCATCAAAGCGGAGTTCGTCAAGTCCCGAGTGCATCGACAATGCGCCTCCATCGAGGAACTCGAAGCTCTCGTCAAGAGGCAGAAAAATGCTTCCGGACGGGAAGATTCAATATTTGGCCCTCCTAGATGGGCCAGGATAAATAATGTGATTACATCGCTTGATGAGCAGTTGAAGACAACATTTTCGGCTTACAAATTGGTCCACTCGTTATCGGAGTTAGTAGCCACTACTCCAGACTCTCTCTATCAAGACCCTCACATCCCAGACCTTGTAGCTGTGTCACAAGATGCACAGCTAGCGTCATCAGCAGCTTACAAGAAAGGTATGATAATACTGCAGGACAAGGCGTCGTGCTTTCCAGCGTATTTGCTCCTGGGCTCTGACGCGGCAAAATGGAAGGGGGATTTGCTGGATGCCTGTGCGGCTCCTGGTAACAAGACAACCCATCTTGCCTCACTACTATGTTCAAGTTCAAAAAGTCATTTTGGTGACAGGATACACTCAACTCAAGATAAATTCACCATATTTTCATGCGACGTCTCGCCAAACCGGTCACGAATTTTACAACGGATGGTGGCTATCGCTGGTGCGGAAACGATGGTTTCTGTCTTGCCTGGTCAGGATTTCCTTGCCCTCTCCCCGGATGACAAGCGTTTCCAAGATGTGACGGGTATACTTCTGGATCCCAGTTGTTCTGGGACGGGGATAGTTGGAAGGGACGACATGCCTTGCCTAGCTTTGCCAAGTTTGCAAGACCCTCATGACCGTGGTATGAAACGGAAACGTCATGCTCCCACTCCACTTCCAACACTTGGGAGACCTGCAGCCTCCGAACCTCAAAATACAACTGATATCGATCCTGGCCGCCTCACCAAGTTGTCTAACCTCCAAACCCGAATTGTTGAGCATGCGTTTAAGTTTCCCAACGCTACACGAGTCACGTATAGCACCTGCTCTATTCATGTGCAGGAGAATGAAGTCGTCATTGCACGCGTCCTGAAGTCACCGGTAGCGCAGCGGCGTGGATGGCGGATCGTTTCAAGAAATGAACAGGTTGAAGGACTACGAAAGTGGAAATACCGGGGCATAACGCATGGGGAGTCTGGAGATGGAGGAGGGGAGATCTGGGATTTGACTGAGACGGAAAGGGAAGGATGTTTGCGATGTTGGCCAAACGATAAGGAGTGTACAGGAGGGTTCTTTGTGGCTGGATTTGTTCGGGACGGTAGCTTCGAGGGAAATAGGAATGTTGTGGATACCACGATATGCCCGACCGGCGGTGGGAAAGAGACAGAAGGAAATGGTAATGATGCTCAATTTGATGAGGAATCGGATTGGGAGGGGTTTGGAGCGGAGTAAAGTCAATATTTGGTGTCGAGGTAATTTTCTTCTGTGAAACCTGACCCGTGTGTCGATTACCCTGGGAATAGGTTAACATTACTGCTGCGGACTGTAGTGACAAAGGTCTGAAAGCAGCAGTATTGCATATCATAATCATAAACATCTCCGACCTATAATTGAAAAAATATTTGTTTTTTAAACCAAAAATACCTACTCAAGATTCTGCAGCTTTTATAATCATACACTATACAATTTCTTTTGCGCAGTCTCTGATGTGAGGTGCCGGGAGGCGGTCGTTGTTCGCACTCTGTGTAATGAGTTAGTAAAATTATAGAATATTTTTTTGTCTCTTTATTAGAGTTTTTTAATTGAAAAAAAAAAAAAAAAAAATAAATAAATAAAAAATTAAAAAAAATAAAAAAATAACAAATATGAATGAATTTCATTTGACTGCTTTGTGGGAAACTCTCGTTTCAAATTGTGGTGCTGTTCTTGGGTTTGAAAACGGTCTTTGTTAAAATGGCTGAATGGAGCAAAACTTTTTATTCTATAATAATGAAAGCGATTATTGTGTTGAAAGAACAGTGTATGCAGGAGCAGGAAGATTTTCACGCCCTTTGAGGAAATCGAGTTCAAGAAGGAAAATGAAACCGAGTAGTGTGCCTCCGAGCTTTTGAACAAGAGCCCCAGCTGCGCTTGCGGATCCACCTGTGTGGATGTATACGAATTAACACCAGTATAACACACAAGAAACATAAAAATATAGCTAGAATGAAAAAGGATACACACCTGTTGCGATAATGTCATCCACCACGAGTACCTTTTGACCAGCTTTAATAGCGTCTGCTTGCATCTGAAAAGAGTCTTGACCATACTCCTTTTGATATGTCTCTGTTTCAACAGGCCCAGGTAGCTTCCCCTTCTTCCTCACTGGCACAAATGCAGCACCCAATCTCAGCGCAAGGGATGGTCCAAATAAGAACCCCCTGGCTTCCAAACCAACAACAACATCCGGTTTCTGAGCATCCCCATAAGTCTCAACAATGAGTAGTTCCAAACATCGTATTAACGCTTCGTGGAGAGAGGGTTCTGCAAAAATAGGAAGAATGTCTTCAAATAAAATTCCCTCAGAGGGGAAGTCAGGGAACTGACGGAGAGCACCGCGCAGTCTTATCTTAAGATTGGTGAGTTCGGCGGCGGCGGAGGAGTAGGTGGTGGGGTATCCGGAGACTTCAGCGGAGGTTGCATTGAGATGATTAGATGTTGAATGGATGGAAGTGGCACGACTCATGCTTGATGAGAGAACAAATAATAAAGAAAGAGAGGAGGTTCAAGGAACTAGTGGAAGTGAGAAGAATGATATTCAAGAAGTGGAATGAAAGAGCATGAAGGTGAACTTCGTTGTCAAAAATATACATGTATGTTGCTGGGCAGAATTGGATTTTAGCATTAGAACGCTAGACAGATCTATCGCTCGTTGTACAGATTACAGTACATGCATTTCTACGGCGACCTCAGATATGTACCACTCAATCTATTGTGTTGCTGTTGCTTAGCTGGGTAATAATATATAAGGTGATGAATTCGATAATTATTATAACTAATTATGTATATATATATGTATTAAAATAACATCTTTAAAAGCATAATGAATGTACTTATTATTATTATTATTCTTCAATTATAGATGTATGCAGTCAATGACTATGACATCTATCTGAAATACTTCAGGATTTTTCAAATCAAGAATAATCTAATATACAAAAGCAATTTGAAACATATAATATCAGGATTTCAGTTCAGAATCAAACAACCATTCAAACTGTTAAATTAAAGAAAATAAAATCAAAAGTATGTTAATGTATGTGTATGTGTATGTGTAGATTTAGCGTCCCAGAGAAGCACGGGCAGCGCCCGTGCTTCAGAAGCCTCCCGAAGAGCATGGGGATGTGGTATGCTGAAGAAATTTCTATATACACAGAGGGGGAGAAACAGGATTCAGATAGCAACTCTTGAAAAGACTCAGCTTTTATCAAGCTATGCATCCACTTCTGACCCGATGTATGATCATTCATGGTAAAGCTATAGTGTGATTCTCTGAGAAGGACCACCGCTGCTGTGTCTGGAAGGCTTTACAGAAAAAAGAGAGGGAATATCCTCTTAGTTTATCAAGAAGCAGTTTATGCTTCAAAGTAAGAAAAAGAAAGAATAGACACAGTGAAGAAGAAAAAAGAGCATAGATAAAGTAAATAAAAAAATGATAAGAGAGCAGTACTGTCTGTGATGCTGTACAGTTATATGATTTGACACAGATTCAGAGCAGCATATTGTCAGAAAAAAAAAAAAAAAAAATGCTGATTTAAACAAATGAAAAGAGAAAAGTAAAGGTATTAATGAAGATAAATGAAAAGGAAAGAGCAAGATATAGAAGAGATATGTTAAAAAAGAGAAAAAGAGAAAAAATATTGAAGCTGATAAAAATGAAAGCAGAAGAAGAGATCAGAGCAAAGTATATATATGCAAGAAAAAAAAAATTGACAATCAATTGAATCAATTGTACTGATTGTGTTGATTGAATAAACTGTATCAATCATACTGATTGAATTGATTGTACTGATTGAACTGATTGCACTGGCTAAATTGATTGTACTGATTGAATCAATTGTATTGATTGAATCAATTGCATTAAATGTATTAATTGTGCCATTTCTGTTACTCACATTAATCATCTGTAGCTGCATTATTCTCTGCAGTATCATGTGTAAAACTGCTTCTATTTCAGCAGTTCTATAAAGTCTGTGAGAGCCAGAGATTTTAGATAGACAACAGCTGTCACTCGATTATATGATTTTATTGCTGGTTTTATAAATCAATGAGGAAAATGTTTTTGTAAATGTTGACACAGCATCAAATGCTCTGAGCTTTTGTTATATTTACAGACATAGACGAGTCTCACATCCACATGCTGAAAGCATTTATAATATCAAGAAAAGTCTTTATGAGAGAAGTGAAGTGTGAATCAGTGATGATTATTATTATCATTATTCTTCCATTATAGATGTATGCAGTCAGTGACTATGACATCTACCTGAAATACTACAGGATTTTTCAACTGAAGAATAAGCTAATATACAAAGTCAATTTAATATATGCCACAGTAGAATTCCAGCCCAGAATCAAATAACTATTCAAACTATTTAATTTAAGAATAAATGTCAAAAGAATGATAACAGATCAATATATTCAATTTAAAACAAATGAAATAAAGAGTATAAAAAACAGCAGCTATTAAAAGAAAAGAAAGCATTCACAAATCAAATTTTTCAAAACAAGTCAAAATCAAAAGTAATCAAAGTGAAATAAATTTCAAAGCAAAAGTAACAAAATAAAAATAAAAACAAGAACAAAAATTAAAGCAAATACATAGAAACAAAAGAAAAAAATAAAAATAAAAATTGAATTCATTATCAGATCAAACTATTCAATTAAAATCTTGTAGCAATATTTGATTCTTTCAAATATTCAATCAAGAATTCATTTCCAGTTTTTGTATTCAATAAAAGTTTTAAATTTAACTGTGCCAATTCAAACTTCTCTCTCAATTAGGGTTATTTGGGTATTACCGAGAGTTTGTCGCGCATTACGCTCACAAGGTAGAGCCATTGCAGATCTGGAAGACTCAAGGATTCCACCAGGCACCTTTCAAGGGAAATCCCAAAAAAAAACGGGCTAAGAAGGAGATCGCCTCAACAGAAGAATTGCAGCAATGTTGGCAAAAAATCAAGAATGAGTTATGTGATTCCCCCATTCTCAAGTTTCCCAATTTCTACAAGGAATTCATCGCCTACGTAGATGGAAGCAAAGATGGTATGGGAGCAGCAATTCATCAGAAGGATAATGATGGCAGGGAACATCCTGTTCTCTTTCTCTCCCGGGCGTTAAAGGGCAGCGAGAAAAATTACGGCTCAACTGAATTGGAGACAGCAGCCTTGGTATGGCTTCTCAGAAAGGCCCCTCAATATTTCGATGGACACTTCATTATAGTCACCGATCATATCGCCTTACGGACAGCATTGCAAACAATCTCGGTTGACAAGCGTCTAAATAATCGCCTTAATCGATGGTCTCTATTCCTATCCACTTTTGCCTCGCGAATGAAAATCATACATCGAGCCGGAAAGTCTCACGCGAACGCCGACTCCCTATCCCGATTATCCACAATAGAATCTGAAAAAATTAATCAGCTGCCAGAGACACCGACCACATTCGAATGTCTACCTAACCGCCCCAGCAAAGCCTCTCATCTCCCCGCCCTCCTTACCTGCACTGCAGGAAGTCCGACCACCATGCCGACAGCTCACGCCTTTCCCATAAATCTCCTCCACATGCACCCGGATCTAAAACATGACATTCAGGAAGAAATAAAAACTGACCCCTACTTCCGAGCAATCTACAGACATATCATGAAACGCATTGAACAGGGAATAGAAAATGCAAATCTCTATCATGGTTTTCAATGGGACAACGACCAACAGCTCCTCTACTACATTCTCAATGAAAACCCCCGACTTTGCATACCCCGGAAACTTCAGACAAGAATCCTATTACAGGCCCATGATCACGAAGGCCACGGTGGATCAGAAAGAACATACCAGCGCCTTCGCAAACAAATATTCACGCCGAATCTCAGAGGAATAATAGCACAATACACAAACCAATGCCCAGTCTGTCAAACCACTGTCCCCCGATGTCACCAACCCTTCGGAGAACTCCACCCGATACAATCTCCCAATCAACCATTTGCATCTCTATCAATGGATTTCATCACAGACCTACCAGAATCGGACGGATATAACATGCTGTTAACTGTCACAGACAAGTTTTCCAAATACGTCCGTCTAATCCCAGGACGCAAACGGGATTCTGCGAAACAATGGGCCACTCGATTCTTTAATGAGATTGTGCGATTCTGGGGTCTCCCCAGACAGCTAATAACCGACCGCGATCGCCGTTTTTTAAAGGCCTTTTGGAAGGAGTTATTTCAAAGAGCTAAGACCGATCTCTGTCTTACTGCTGCCTATCACCCCAGCGCGAACGGCCAAGCCGAACGCACCAACCAAACTGTTGAAATAGCCTTACGATCATTACTTGTCGGACAGACCATGGTCTCTTGGAATAGCCTTTTGCCAGAGATAGAGTTCAATCTCAACACAGCCACTTCTCAAGCAACAGGCCATACCCCCTTTGCTGTTCTCTACGGTGTCAATCCTACATACACTTTTTCTCCTCAAAATTCGACACACCCATCTTCCGCCGATGATTTCATAAATACCCGCCTATACCCTAGTGCGCCGTCCGACGCGCCCCCGTCCGATCTTCTCCCGCCCTGATTGGCCGCCCGTGCGTGCTCCCGCTCCCGCCGCCGCGTGCCCGCAGTGGCCCGGTCGCGGTCGAGCTCCCTCTTCCCTTCCCTTCCGCGGCAGCCAGCCACCCCATTACTTCAAACTTTGCATGTAGGCCGTAGTGGATATGAAATACAACATATCCAAATCAAAAGCGATAATTCCGCCGGGAAGGGGTTACATTGTGGTGTCAAAGTCAATGAGTTGAGGTGCGATGTTTGATGGGGTAAGCCACCAACCCAACCAGACCCAACTAAATATATATATTTTCACCCAGGCAACGGAGCGGTGCAAAGCGGTGCAGGATCAACAAAGTAAATAAAAATAGCAAAACATATAAGAAAACTGAAAGGCTTCATCCTGGAGTGATTTTAAACACAGAAAAACAAACATTCACACCAGATCAGATCTGTCAAGTTTCACACAAAGACACTGAATGAAGGAAATATATATATATTCAATGCACAAGACAGACCCAGCATCGACATGGAACATCAATTATTTATCCACTGTGAATCATACCTCATTATCATATGCCGCCGGTGCAAGCACGCTGTGTGGCCAACCGAGATTGAACGGCATCTGAAAGGCAAGGCCCATCAGCTAAAGCATGCGGTGGTTCAGCAGATAAAGGAGAACATTGAACAGTGGGACAATGTGGCTCGAGATACTACACAGTTAACACTGCCCACAATACTGAATGAACCAATCCCGGAACTACCCATTCAAGATGGCTACAGGTGCCAGCGGGATCCCCAGTGCCAGTATGTGGCAGGGAACATGAACACCATGCGCAAGCACTGGCAGAACAAGCACAGCTGGTCGCCATATCCCAGCCGTGGCCGTACAGCGCCACAAAAGCGTACGGCAGCACAGGATGAGGTGGACAGATCATGCCAGAAGGTGCAGTTCCAGCAGGTATTTGCATCGCGCAAGGGCTCCCACTACATACAGATCCAGACTAAGGAGACTACTGAGCACACCGGCACGCCAGACCAGAACAGAGCCAGCCATGTCATTGATGAGCTGGAGCGGTTTTACCGGGAACAGCAACGGCAGACCAGCAATGTCATCCAGGCCGGGGAGCACGATGAAGCCAACCCATGGCTGCGGCGGACCAGATGGCCGGTGTACTTGACCAACATCGCACCCAATGATCTGGTCAACTGCGTGCAGCGGCCCGACGATGACACCACGTGCCCAAATGAACTGGCCGCGAGGGCCATCTGGGAGGCCATGGGGCAGGTTGCCCGTACCAGCCAGCGAGTCATCACACGGCTGGGCCACTTCGTCCGCATCGAGGCCATCCGCACAGAGCGACACCAGACCCGGCACACCCCGTTGCAGGCATACATGGACGAGGAGAGCATCGCCGAGCACGTGAGGCCATGGCAGCAGATGTTGATGTTTTTCGCCCGAACGCAGGTCGAGCATGAATGGACGAGCCCACAGTACCGGTTCACACCACGGCAGCGCAAGACATGGAGGGTATTATGGCAGGTAGCCACCGCAGAGGGAGCCGACCAGCGACACTCCATCAGCCCAGACCCCATGGATGAGCAGATGACTGAGGAAGAAGAAGAGGAGGAGGAGAAGGGACAGAGAGATACCCAGCCAGAAGAAGAAGATAAGTTCAAATCAACCAAGATCCAGATGGCATGTTTGGATTTTTGAATTGAGCTGCTGGACCAGCGGGTTCAGGTGGAGGATTATGAGTGCGCGCTGGTAGACGCGTTGGCGGTGCTGGGACGGGGGGAGTATGGATGGTGCGACGCGGAGAGCTACCCACCAATGTTGTCACGGATCATCAAGGTGGCACGGTTCATGGTGGTGCACAAGGCGCTGCGACTGGACGCCAATGCATCCGACATGCTGGCCAGGAACCAAGCAAGCCAGATGGTGGGAGAGTGGGCCGTGGTGAGCGCCATGAAGGAGGCGGATTACACGTTCACAGGCAATCAGAATGAAGGGTAATCAGTGAAGACATCAGAGGCATCCCATCAACAATCAGACAGACATTCCACAAACAGAATGTCCATCAAGGCCGGTTCATCATCACACACCAGCAGCGAGGGCAGAGGGCATTGATGGATGAGGAGGTTTTAGTGGAAGAGGCGCAGAGGTGGAAGGATCAGTGTTTGATATGTGCAAGTGGCAAGCGGGAGTTTGACCAGGAGCTGTACCAGTGTCCCCACGAGGAGAGCCAGGAGGCAAAGAGATGGATGATGACAGTGCGGAGCAAGATCAAATACACACAGTATTCCGGGTGCTTCCGATGCGGGATGCCGCAGTCCATATGCAACAGCTGGAAGACACAGAGGCAGTGTCCGTACAGGGGATTTTTGATCCCGACAGTGGCAATGATGATGTATGGGTGTCACAGCAGCTGAGGGAGTTCAATGTGAATGCAGATGATCAGGAGGCGGTGATTGAATTTTTGAGACAGAAGGTTGAGGGGCAGGGCATCGAGCACAACCAGCTGATGGAGATGTTTTGTTGGCTGCGAGGGATATATCAGGAGGCAGAGAGGGGGAAGATCGAGTCAGAGGGTACAGGGGTCAAGTGATATCACGGGTGAGAGGCACCACAGGGGGATGAAAGACGTATATATATATAAAGGCAGGTGAAGCAAGAGACAGAGGGTAAACGGATATAACATCGAGAGAAAGTAGATCAGTTAGGGGTGATCAGTTTCAAACAGTATCATCCCCATATGATAATGGGTCAGGGTCCAGGGTTACAATGAGTGAGGGTAGAGGCTGGGGGGGAGGATGAGGTGGTCAGAGTCAGGGTTAGGGTTGACAAAGAGTGAGGCTAGAGACAGGGGTGGGCAGTGAGGTCAGGATAGGCGGTTAAATTAGACGCAAACCCGTTAACCCATTGAAAGTCAAACCCGTTGGACCCAAACCCGTTGGACGTCGAACCCGTTGGACGAGGAAGTCGAACACGCTGGACCCAACCCGTTGGACGTCGAACCCGTTGGATGAGGAAGTCGAACACGCTGGACCAAACCCGTTGGACGTCAAACCCGTCCCAGGAGCGCATTAACCCGTTGGACCCGAACCCGTTGGATGAACCCATCAACCCGTTGGACGTCGAACCGGTTGGATGAGGAAGTCGAACACGCTGGACCCAACCCGTTGGACGTCAAACCCGTCCCAGGAGCGCATTAACCCGTTGGGAGTGGAACACGCTGGACCCAAACCCGTTGGATGTCGAACCCGTCCAAGGAGCGCATTAACCCATTGGACCCGAACCGGTTGGATGAACCCATCAACCCGTTGGACGTCGAACCGGTTGGATGAGGAAGTCGAACACGCTGGACCCAAACCCGTTGGACGTCGAACCCGTCCAAGGAGCGCATTAACCCATTGGACCCGAACCCGTTGGATGAACCCATCAACCCGTTGGACGTCGAACACGCTGGACGATTATATCAGAAGGTAGAGGGGGGGAAGATCGAGTCAGGGGCATAGAGGTCAAATGACATCACAGGTGAGAGGCAGATGTTGACGAGCACCACATAGAGATAAAAGATATATGCATATATAAAGATCGATGAAGCAAGAGGAAAAGGAGCAAAAAGAAAGAGGGTAAAGAGATATAATATAGCTAGATCAGGTTCAAAAATATTGGAGTTTTAAAGAGCATTATCCCATACAATAATGGGCCAGGGTTAGGGTTACAAAGAGTGAGAGTAGAGGCTGGGGGGGGGGGGAGGATGAGGTGGTCAGAGTCAGGGTTAGAGTGAGGTGTGTTCAGGGAGGTCAAGGTCAGGGCAACGCATTGGAAGTTGAACGCATTGGACCCGAACCCGTTAGACGCAAAGCGGTTGGATGAACGCATTAACCCGTTGGATGTTTGAAGGCGTTGAACATCAAAGCAGTTGGAAGTCAAAGCGGTTGGACGAACGCATTAACGCATTGGACGTTGAAACGATTGGAAGTCGAAGCGGTTGAACGAACGCGTTAACCCGTTGAACCCAAACCAGTGGGATGAAAGCATTTAAAAGTCGAACCCGCTGGACATGCCGGTTGAAGGTAATAGGGTTAGGGTTAAACAGAATATGATGGAGAGGATCGTATATACCGGTGTGGGCACATCCGTTGAATATCGCGTTGGATTAGGGGTTTGCGTCCGGGAAATACGTCATGGAAGCGGAGGCGAAGGCGGAACCGGAAACGGAAACCCCAGGTTTACAACCCCAGCGTTAGGGTTATGGTTAAACAGAATATGATGGAGAGGATCATATATACCGGTTGGGGCACGCCCGTTGAATATCGCGTTGGATATAGGGGTCAGCGTCACGGGAAATACGTCACGGAAACGGAAGCGGAAACGGAAGCAGAAACGGAAACCCCAGGGTTACAACCCCAGGGGTTAGGGTTAGAGTTAAACAGAATATGATCGATCGCGTTGGATATAGGGGTTTGCGTCCGGGAAATACGTCACGGAAACGGAAACGGAACCGGAAACGGAACCGGAAACGGAACCGGAAACCCCCAGGTTTTCAGGGTTAGGGTTATGATGGAGAGGATCGTATATACCGGTTGGGGCACGCCCGTTGAATATCACGTTGGATTAGGGGTTAGCGTCTATCCAACAGGTGGGGGTGGAATGGACGTCCATTCCATTCAGGGTTAGAAAACCGACCAATCAGAGCAGGGCAGATTGGACGTACATTCCATTTGGTTTCAGACGTTGAACGTCCAATCAACCACGGAGTCAATTGACTTCAAACTTTGCATGTAGGCCGTAGTGGATATGAAATACAACATATCCAAATCAAAAGCGATAATTCCGCCGGGAAGGGGTTAAATTTTAGTGTCAAAGTCAATGAGTTGAGGTGCGATGTTTGATGGGGTAAGCCATCAACCCAACCAGACCCAACTAAATATCTATATTTTCACCCCAGGCAACGGAGCGGCGCAAAGCGGTGCAAGATCAACAAAGTAAATAAAAATAGCAAAATATATAAAAAAACGGAAAGGCTTCATTCTATCCAACAGGTGGGGGTGGAATGGACGTCCATTCCATTCAGGGTTAGAAAACCGACCAATCAGAGCAGGGCAGATTGGACGTACATTCCATTTGGTTTCAGACGTTGAACGTCTAATCAACCACGGAGTCAATTGACTTCAAACTTTGCATGTAGGCCGTAGTGGATATGAAATACAACATATCCAAATCAAAAGCGATAATTCCGCCGGGAAGGGGTTACATTGTGGTGTCAAAGTCAATGAGTTGAGGTGCGATGTTTGATGGGGTAAGCCATCAACCCAACCAGACCCAACTAAATATCTATATTTTCACCCCAGGCAACGGAGCGGCGCAAAGCGGTGCAAGATCAACAAAGTAAATTAAAATAGCAAAATATATAAAAAAAATGAAAGGCTTCATTCTGGAGTGATTTTAAGCACAGAAAAACAAACATTAGTCGAACACGCTGGACCCAAAGCCGTTGGACGTCAAACCCGTCCAAGGAGCCCATTCACCCATTGGACCCGAACCCGTTGGATGAACCCATCAACCTGTTGGAAGTCGAGCACGCTGGACGATTATATCAGAAGGTAGAGGGGGGGGTTCAAAAATATTGGAGTTTTAAAGAGCATTATCCCATACAATAATGGGCCAGGGTTAGGGTTACAAAGAGTGAGGGTAGAGGCTGGGGGGGAGGATGAGGTGGTCAGAGTCAGGGTTAGAGTGAGGGGTGTTCAGAGGTCGAACCCGTTGAACGAACCCGTTAACCCGTTGGACCCAAACCAGTGGGATGACACCATTTAAAAGTCAAATCCGCTGGACATGCCCGTTGAAGGTTATAGGGTTAGGGTTAAACTATCCAAGTTATACATAGTGCGTGGTCCGACGCGCCCCCGTCCGATTTTCTCCGTCCCTGATTGGCCGCCCGTGCGTGCTCCCGCTCCCGCCTCCGCGTGCCCGCAGTGGGGCCCGGTCACAGTCGAGCTCCCTCTTCCCTTCTCATATCTCATCTCTTCTTATCTTGTCAGTTTTTATTGGCCTTATTGGCCTGGCCTGCTCGCACATCCACGCGTCTCCACATTAATGCATTTATATATTGACGCATTCATGCATGATTGCTGGCTGCTCACTCTCTCTCTCTCTCTTTTTTTTTTTCTTTCTCTCTCTTATGTTTTGCTCTTTCTTCTGATCTCTGACTGACCTTTTTTAAATATACTCTTTCAAATATTGACAGACAGCCAACTTTGATGAGAGATTTACTGTGAGAATGGATCTCTTTATTTATAATAGGTCCCACCGCCTGTGGATCTGCCGCCCATGTGGATTTGCTGTTGCTGTTGCAAATGTCCTCACCCACCTGGCTAAGCGGCACCGCAACCATCCCTCGGCCGCGACGGCAGGTCTCCGGGAGGCCGCAGTGGCTGCGATGATGCAGGACCAGCTGGAGCCGGTGTTTGACCGCACTCAGAAACCCTGTTGCCCACCGCCTCCGGAGAGTGCTCCAGTCCGAGCTGGTGGTGTACTACCTCTGGCTGATTCTACCTTTCGCGCGGGCGGTCCAGCGGCTTGCATATGGAGACAATGATAGCCAGGGGGGCTGCGGTCACCATTTCTCTGGCCGCGGGGGCATGGACCGTGGGACAGCAGCCGGCTGCGGGTGGTGCTTCAGCGCGAGGCAAAGACACACCTCCAGACCAAGCTCAATGTAATCCCTTGGCGGCATGCCGCCATTGCCATCTCGCGTATGCACCTGTCCTGTGGAGGGTTCAAGCGGGAATATGAGGCAGATGATGCGGCAGTAGACCAGCAGGCAGGCCATGGATCCTGGGCTGCAGGAGGCACCAGGCCACATTGAGGAACGGCGTGTGTGGTACCAGGCTGTCAGCCGGGAGTGGCATGAATTCCTGGGGTTTAACCCAGGGGTGCGAAAGCGGGCACGGAACATGGAAAAGAGCGTTAGCAGAAAAGCTCAAAAACAGCAGCCATCATATGTAACAGTAGAAATAGATGATAACATAGAGCTATAAATGATTAAAGATATATATTTTTCTCATGCAATTCATTATGACCAGATTTCCAACTTCAGCAGCTAGCTGTCATCTTTATAAATTTCAATACAAATCAGCCTTTCACCTCCGTTATAAAATGTATAATATTATATTTTCATAGACAACTCATCACAACCAGACCTTAAACTTCAGTAGCCAGTTATATTATATATACAGAGTATGATATTTAATTTCAAGACATAATTTCATCAGAAAATCATATTATTACAACATTAAGGTAGATAAGTTGTTTTGCAGAGTTATCAATATTAAATATATATATTTCGCCCCAGGGCAACTACCATCATCAAAACCGTCACAGATCAGCGAAATAACAATCAGACAGAAATTAACATCATACATTTAAGTATTGATCTGCAATTGCTTCGAAGCATTACAAAACTTAAATTTAGAGCAAATTAACATTGTCGAGTGAAGTGTGTTTATACTTCATTTTCAGAGAATATATATATATATATATATATATCAACTCAAGAATACACTGACTTCATTAAGATGGAACATCAATTATTCATTCAGTGTGAATCATACCCCATCATCATATGCCGTCAATGCAAGTATGCAGTATGGCCAACAGAAATTGAACGGCATTTGAAGGGTTCAACTCATCAGTTAAAGTATACAGCCACACAGAGTATCAAGCAGATAATTCAACGGTGGGATCATATCACGCATGATCTCAGGCAGTTGATATTATCCACAGAATTGAACAAACCAATACATGAGCTGCTCATCCACAATGGCTACATGTGTTGGCGGCAATCTATCCAACAGGTGGGGGTGGAATGGACGTCCATTCCATTTAGGGTTAGAAAACCTTAGAAAACCGACCAATCAGAGCAGGGCAGATTGGGCGTACATTCCATTTGGTTTCAGACGTTGAACGTCTAATCAACCACGGAGTCAATTGACTTCAAACTTTGCATGTAGGCCGTAGTGGATATGAAATACAACATATCCAAATCAAAAGCGATAATTCCGCCGGGAAGGGGTTAAATTTTAGTGTCAAAGTCAATGAGTTGAGGTGCGATGTTTGATGGGGTAAGCCATCAACCCAACCAGACCCAACTAAATATATATATTTTCACCCCAGGCAACGGAGCGGCGCAAAGCGGTGCAAGATCCACAAAGTAAATAAAAATAGCAAAATATATAAAAAAACGGAAAGGCTTCATTCTGGGAGTGATTTTATCCCAGAAAAACAAACATTAGTCGAACACGCTGGGACCCAAACCAGTTGGACGTCCAAACCCGTCCAACCAGGAGTCAGAGAATGGAGAGCCAGCAGGGTGAAACCCACATCAGATAACAGCACATGCAGTCCCAGAATGGCCAGATGTGTGAGCAAGAGCACAGACAACAACATAAATGAAAGCATCACCAAGAATGAGGCTTCAACTATCCCCTCGTCCGTAGGTTTGTGCAAAATTAGCGTGGTTTCATTAGTGTATATTATACGAGATCTCATTGAATAATCAGTGTATTTTTGAGTATTCATTGGTATTAGTGTAATATATAAACCCTAATTAAGGATCGTAATAGATATTAGGATATACTATGAAATTCCGCCCAACATTGAGTTTTCAAACATAAAAGGGTATTTTGACACTCTGAACAGTCAGAATTTGATCTCCCTATCTTTTTATATTTCTGCTGGCCAATCTTTCATTTATATTGACACCAGGCACAAACACGCTGCTTTGGAAGAGAAATCCGTTGATGATTTAGATTAGAATTTGATCATTCCCTTGATAGATTATCATGAATCCTAGATGTGAATTCAAAGAGTTCCTGGTAAAGCTTCTCATGAAAGCTTATATGAGAAGAAAGATCCTTCACTGAAATCCTCTGCTGCTTCATATATAGATATTGAAGCCGGTATGCATTAATAGCTGCGGAATCAATAAGTCAGTAGAGAATAGAAAGCCAGGTGTGATAGATGACTCTATGACTAGTATATGCTGCTCAGTATTGATTTGATAGATGTACCCCATTCATATGATGATTATAATCATCTATAATCAATGGGATTTTCAGCTTCTTTTGTGATTGACCTTTAAAGACTTTTCTAACAATATTGACATTGATTGAGAGTTCCCCTGAGCCTTTACAAGTACATTCAATAACTGCGTCCAATGAATGAATCGTAGTTAGTGCCAATACCATATTATTATCTTGCCAGGCAAGACAGAGAACATTCTCTTTTTCAATGACATGCAGAGTATTTCAGAGTATGGAATTTGAATGCTCTCAAAGCTCATCTAGTACTGCTGGAACCTGGTTTGAATGAGTGGTTCCACATGCTCCATACCCCTGTTGACGTAGTTCTTTGAATAAAGGAACTGATGTAAAGTAGTTATCCATTTCAATTGAATAGGATGTGACCAGCTGTGAGATAGAGATTTCATTAGATGTGGCATTCGGTGTAGCATTCGGGGGGGTGATATTCGGGTTGATATTAGGGCCAATATTATGGGTGATATTAGAGTCGATATTAGGGGTGGCATTCGGCATGGTATTCGGTGTATTCGGTGTGGATACCATAGAAAGCCGCTTCACCAGATTCACCACCATAGATTCAGTTTTGTTAACATAGAGAATTGAAACATAGACATTATACTTTGTTGACAGCTAGACCAGGAAAAGACTATAAATAGTCATGTTCTGCTAGGCCAAATATCTATATCCTCAAGGAATTGGTTTATTAGACATCTTGTATGTATGTTGACTCCATCCAAAATATTTAACCATGATTTCATCGATGGAAATCTTAGAGTCAGGGGTATAGTATTTTCAGCATGCCATATGAAACTTAGTAGCTAATGACTCTATCTTATACCATCAATTCTTATTTTTGACCTCCGGGCGGCGGGCCTCATGAAGGTTAGATATATGGATATATCATTTAATCTGTTCAAAACGCATATGGGTCATATAGAATTGAATGGAATGAATAGAGTCTTGTTTCAGCTCATTCTGCCCGTATAGATCAATTCAATGGAATTTATGAACTTTCATATAAAGAAGAATGCCTATAAAGACCTTTATCTCT